AGTGCTTCCCGGTACAGTTGAAAGATCAAATTTATTCTCTTTGTAGGTGGGTGAACATTCACACACTCAGACACAGCTATATATATTTTATATACCTAAATATGAAATATACATTTTACAGATGCTTCATTCGCTTTCTTTCTGTTCACAGAAACCCAAAAACATATGTGGCAAAGGGACAGTTAGGAGGGGCCGCAGTGGAGCCGGATGGAGAGGTGGCTTCGTGACGAGGTACGCGTCTCTGCACGCTGAAGCCACAAGCGTGCACGCTGAAGCCACAAGCGTGCACCTGGCAGGCGCCTGGCCTGGAGCCCTGCCCAAGCTGACAACGCCACTCCACACTCACGGTGCTGGCTTTTTTTTTTTAAAAGCATATAATAGAATTAAAAGTTGCATCCAGCCTAACTCTATCCTTTTCACAGATGGCACACTTAAAATTGCCTTCTTGGGAGGTACCCCTATTAAAAACTTGTAATACCATCAACTGAGCTAGGTTTTTCTTTGTTTTGAAAGGCAGGTCTTCATCCACAAGGCACTTGACCCCAGGGCTACGTGGGTGGCTTCCCCAGTTATCTGGTGAAGAGGGGTGACCATGACAACCTGACCCCCAAACCTCAAACCTCACTCACTGCTCCCAGGCAGGAGCGGTGGGCTGCATGGCTTGGAGGTGATCAGAGTCCCCATCCCTGGCGCCGGGTCTGACCTGTACAACACCTGCTACCTGATGCCACCGAGACCTCCTGGCGACCCCTGAGACAGACACTGCGGTTCGCCTCGTTTCACAGATGGGGAAACCAAGGCTTGGGGGGTGGTGGTCTGCCCAAGGTCACAGAGGCGCCGGCTGTTGTTTCTGACGCTGACAGCCGAGAGCCGGCTGTAACCCAGGGCCTGCTCAGCTCCGCGGGCTCAGGAAGTCTTCAAGGCTGGCCCCACGCCAGGGAGAGGGCTTAGGGGGAAGAATTGATGCTGAAGGCCACAGAAGGGCAGATGTTAAAAAAAAACTAAAATGAGTAAGGCTAGTTACTCAAAGAGCAGAGGGAAGCCGAGCCAGTCTGCTCCTCCCTGGGGACTCGTCCTCCAGCGGACGCGGGCCGGGGCTTCCGCTGCTCGGTCTGCGTGTTCGTACACAATGACCAGCTCCCTGGAGGGCAGTGATCTGTGCTCAGGGCTAAGAACCGGTTGCAAAGCCAGGCCCAGAGACAGCGAACGTGATGTTAGGCCTGATCAGACGCCCGCTGCCTTGCTTTGCGGCTTCACTGCGGCTGCTCTGGTCTGGAAGGGACAGATGCCAGCGTTCCACTTGTTACAGTGCAGCAAAAGGAGAGTCTGGGCCTGAGGTCTACATCTGCTCCTAATTTATGAAGCCACATGACAATAGAAATAGGATGATAGCAATAATAATTTTTGTGAAAACACCATGTGTATCTCAGGGCTGTTCGAAACGCCATCTCCTCATGGCAACAGTGTGATTATCTCAACTTGTCATGTAAAGAAGTGGGGGCCAGAACTTGCTCGAAATCCCACAGCTGGGGAGGCCAGGGGGCTGTGCCCAGGCCACCTCCTCCCCACTCTGGCACTGCCCTTCCAGTCCCAGAGCCGCCCAGTGAAGTGTCTGGGCACGCTGGAAACCTGAACCTACAAGTGTTGTCAGCTCTCTGAGCACAAACTGGCAAAAGGGATGGACAGCTCACAGGCTGACAGGGCAGCAGGCTCTACACAAACTTTGTTTAAAATACCTTGATCAAATCTCTCATGGCATTTTTCTGTTCACAAGGTATAGTTTACTGACAAAATTTCACCTTCAGGAAAATGGCTGACACGGCCTTTGGAAAGGAAGCTAGTTTCATTCTCTTGGTTTAGGTGATGCTAATGGAAGCATGCTGGCCCATGAGATGTGCTTTGGGGAAGCAGCCATGCTGCTGGCACCCCACACGGCAGCAGGAAAGCAGTCTGGGGCTGCTTGCAACTGCCCAGAACCCCCAGCCAGAGCTGCACAGATAGCAGGACTTTTTCTTCCTAATGATGGCGACCCCCCTGCTCTGTGGATGAACCACTCGGTCGTCTGCGAGGCAGCACAGAGAACTCCTGCTTTTCTTCTGTGCCCATCTGGAGTGGATAGCTGTGGGTAGCTGTCCTTGCTGCTGGTGAGGGCCCAGCACATCAAGCAGGCCTGGCCCCCCCTTGTCGGGGCACCTGCTGCTATCCGGCCCATTCACTGGATGAGACCAGCAAGCACATCCATAAATGAAGGGGGAAGACACTCAGAACCCTGTCTCTTCTAATGTCCTCGGTCTTTACAAATGCACATCTTGTCCAACAGCAGAACCAACCCAAGTTGAGACACGTATCGCGCCTGTCAGCAGCAAGCAGGATCCATCCACCAACTCACCTGACCGCCCCATCGCCTTCCTCTGAAGCAATCGTCCCTGCCCAGAACAGACAAAATGTCTTCCAGCTTAACCTCATGAACACTGTAAAGGAAAGGGCACATCAAGGTAAGCACTTTGCTCTTTCAGAAACACCCCAAATATCACTTCCTACAACTGGCCTGGCCTCACGCTGTGGGACCTAGGCAGCTGCAGCCTTCCCAGGCACACAGAAGGCAGGCAGCACTGGGAAACCGTAGGGAGAGTGGGCAGTGGCTCTGCACACGTCCTGCTCAAGGTTACACCAGGTGCCTTCCTGGGGACTGCGCCCTTATTTCTACATAGAGCTTGAATAGTCACGTTGGGAGAATCGATGGGCCACCATGACTTGAATAGAACATGATGAAATAAAGTCTTCTTAAAGGTAAGAATACAGGCAGCCAAAGTGCCCATGGCCAGGGCAGCTGCCAGGGCCGCAGGGTCACCACTGCTTCCTGCTCTCACCTGGAAGATCTTCCCCCTCTTGACAAGGTATCAAGGGGTGAGGGACAATCCAGCTACATGCAGACAACTGGAGCCAGACAGGAGGGTTGGAACACCTGTGCTGCACCACCTGGGTGTGGGGCCTCCATCCCCCATCTGGGGGCAGACACTCACGGGCTGGGGAGGCAGCTGCGGGAGGGATGTTTCTTGGGAAGGAGTTTAGGGGGAGGAAAACACCATTACAAGACAAATGACTGTGCTGTGTATGCATGGCATGCTTTTTGGAAATCACAACACGAAGGGCACCTTCTTTGGTGGAACCCCCTCCAGAGGCGGCTCTGACAGACTGTGACCGACATGCCAGCTGACAGCTGAGAGCAGCCACACCCCTGCGCCACTCATGGGTAAGCCTTTTCCCAGCCCGAGAGTCAATCTGAGAGGGCAGGGCAGGCCCTGGCAGGAGCAGCGGCAGGGGTAGAGGCAGGGCCAAGGGCAGAGGCAGGAGCAGAGGTACAGGCAGGGGCAAGGGCAAAGATAGGGGCAGAGGCAGGGGCAGAGGTATAGGCAGGGCCAAGGGCAGAGGCAGACATATAGGCAAGGCCAAGGGCAGAGGTAGGAGCAGAAGTACAGGCAGGGGCAGGGGCAAAGATAGGGGTAGAGGCAGGGGCAGGGGCAGGGGCAGAGGTGAGGAGAAAACAGAGCCAGGCCCTATCTTCATCTACCCCTCACCTTCTCCACAAAAAGGGAGAAAGACAAATGCAAAGGGCTCACAGGACATGGAGTCCAACCCTGAAGCTGCAAGAAGGGACTAACCCTGCCCACACTCAGCCACGGAACCTCAACCTGTCCACACTCAGACACGGAACCTCAACCTGCCCACACTCAGACACGGAACCTCAACCTGCCACGCAGGGAGACCGGGCCTGCCCAGGCAGGGCAGCGCTGACGCTGACAGCGTGGGCCTCTAGGAACATGTGTTGTGGGCCACATGCCCCAGGTGACCAGGAATAAATGAGCATGAGTGATTTACAGTTTCAAAGTGTTCCCATCTCTAAGACTCATGGCCTCTGAGGAACCAAGCAAAGCTACTATGATTATTTATGGTTCTATCACCTCATTTTGCTATGAAGAAAGAATAAATTCAGGGAACCATCTTACGCCTGATACAAGGAATTCATGTTTTGATGAAGCATTTACATTTAAATAAACCAGTGATGACTTTCATTAGGAACACACAAAAGGAGGAGGTGGGAAGAAGTTAACAAGTGACAAATTCAAAGGAGTCCAGAGGAAACAGTCACACAAGGCGGCCCTGGCCAGGGGGCACTCTCACGGCCAGGCTGTTAAACTACTGGGGTTGATTCCACAGTGCCCAGCTCAGTGAAAGGCAGGTGACCATGTACTGTGTCTTCCAGAACCTGTCCTGATTCCTGGCCCAGAAACCTGTTGCCTGGCCCTCAGTTTCAGGCACAAAGCATACACATTTTCTTCCTCCTCCTCTTCTGCATTTAAGAACACGCCTTTGGGGCTGACCCTGTGGCATACCAACTTAAGCTGCTGTCCGCAGAGTACCTGGGGAAGTTACAGAGGACAGCTCAGGTGCTTGAGTCCCTGCACACACACGGGAGACCCCGTTAGAAGCTCTGGACCCCTGGCTTTGGCTCGGCACAGGTCCAGAGGCTGCAGCCATTTGGGGAGTGAACCAGAGGATGGAAGATCTCTCTCTAACACTGTCTTTCAAATAAACAAATCAATCTTATACACGAGTATAGCTTTTATGAACCAAAATGTTCCAGGATACTGCTTCCCACTGTATATTTTTTTAAAAGATTTATTTTTATTATTTTTTTATTGGAAAGGCGGATATACAGAGAGGAGTTACAGAGAGGAAGATCTTCCGTCCAATGATTCACTCCCCAAGTGGCCGCAACGGCCGATGCTATGCTGATCCGAAGCCAGGAGCCTCTTCCGGGTCTCCCACGTGGGTGCAGGGTCCCAAAGCTTTGGGCCGTCCTCAACTGCTTTCCCAGGCCACAGGCAGGGAGCTGGATGGGAAGCGGGGCTGCCGGGATAGAACCGGCGCCCATATGGGATCCCGGGAGTGCAAGGCGAGGACCTTAACCACTGCGCCACCGTGCCGGGCCCTCCCACTGTATATTTTTGCAACTAGATCTTATTAGATGAAAAAACAAACTTATTGAAAGCCATAATGTCAGAGAAAGAGGGAGACGCAGAGATAAAGGAATTTTCCCTCCATTGGTTCTCTCTCCGTATGGCCACAACAGCCAGGACCAGGCCAAGCCAAAGCCAGAAGCCTGGAAGTCCACTGCAGAGTCTCTCACTTAGGGCCATCATCTTTACTTTCTTAGCAGGAGGCTGGATTGAAAGCAGAGCAGGCAGAACACGACTGGCTGCTCCCACATGGGACACCAAGGGCGTCACAAGCAGTGACTCAACTCTGATATGGCAGAATACTGGCCCTGATATTTTATTTATTTATTTCGTAGTAAGTCAAAGAAAGTTTGTACAGGTATCCAATTTAAGTCTTTCCTCAAACTGGAACTGTCAGGGACACAGCACAGCTAACACATAAGCACCCTGATTTCCTATCTGGCTCATCTGTGCAGGCACGAGGCAGGCAGTGGTCCAGGGCTGCCCCCAAGCAAGGCGGAACTCACAGGGGATGCCCACCTGCTCACATGATGTGGATTCCTACACAGCCCTGACACTCAACCCATGCAAGGCGCAAGTGTCCCCCCTGGGCACTGCCCCTTCTCACTGTCCTCTGCAGTCATCTCCTTTCCGATGTGGACACTGTGTCACAACCGACAGGAACGTTTGCACGCTACTCTATCTGGCAACTTCATCACAGGCCACTGTTCCTGCTGGGTCTCTGGCTCACTGATCTTTATCTGTGCTAATCACTGACTCCCTGTCAGTCTCCGGTTTATATCTGAGCCTTGGGTAGCAATCAATCAGGGTACTTATTAACATGAAGCAGGGAGCGGTGCCCACCGACACTCATTCTTTCTGGAGAAGATCACATGTGGGTAAACAGGTACAAGAGGGCATGCAGACAGCTGCTGATACGGGGAATGGGGCTGTGGGTCCAACCTGGAAGGAGGAAGAGAAGCAGATGTGGAGCCAGGGGCAGCTGCTAAGGTGCAGAGCTGCTCCATGTCTGTTATGCGGCTGCAACGTCACATTGCAAAATGCTTTCTGTAGTCCCATGTTTCTACCACACACACAAAAACTATGCATGGAGCTGAGTTCCTAGCTTGAGCTCCCAGCCTGAGGAAGGGGTAACGGGGCCAAGCCCTAGTATTCCCTGGAGTATACCTGCTGGGGGAGAGCAGAGGCTGTGGGTACAGGTGTGGGGGACTAGCAGCCCTGACACTTGGAAGGCCGCAAATACAGGTGCCAGCTAGCCGGCAGCCTCGGGGTCTTTACCCCCAGCTGGAGCAGCACCTCCAGGTACAAAGTATCCAATGGGCCAATCTCCAGCAGCTTCCTTGGCAGGAGCAGCTTCCTGCCTGGCCAGTGCCAGCCGAGTAAGCCTCAGTGCATGAAGAGGCACACTGACCCGCAGGATACGTGGCCAGCTCCTGTAGGTGGGACTAAGCCTGCACCTGGTCCTATGGGCGCCCCCTACCGAGCCTGTGGAACACAAGGAGTGTCCCAGTCCTGAACTTCAGTGAGAAAGATCTTCGTTTTAGTTTACATTTTACCCAAAGCACAGCCTGGGTGAGGAAAACCACAACGAATCAGGCACTCCCATCCCAGCACGGCTGGGTGCTCAGTGGCATCCGAGCCGCCAGAGCTGTTTCTGTGCTGAGCCTGGTCCTGTGCCCTCCCACCTTGGGCAAACACACGCCTCTCCCCATGTGTCCCAAAGTATTTCTACTCATCATCGTGCTGGGTCTGAGCCGGAAAACTCCCTTCAAGTGGATCGGGGTCAAGAGCTGCATGCCTTTATATTCCTGCAATCAGGATCTGTTATTTCAGCAGCTACGGACTTGAAGAGAAAAATGAATCCATCTCCGTGGCCCAGGTAAATGGCTTCTGTGATGGTTCCCCCCGGCACCCAACTCTCTTGATGTCTGTGGGCGCAGGGCTAGAATCCGGGTGCCACTCAGGAGATGTGCAGTGCTACCATTCAACTGTGTGACACACTAGGCTGCACCTGCAGTGTCCTGGCTGCCAATGGGCTGTGTGCCAACCACCTTGAAATATTTCCTCTGTTTAACGTGTTGGGAGGAGAACTGCATGTTGAGTAAAAAGCATTATTGATTTTTAGTAGACAAGCTGGTAGAAGATACTAAACACTGGGACAATGGGGTGCGGCGCCAGCATCCCACCCATGAGGGCTCTAGCTCATGTCCCAGCTGCTCCACTTCTGCTCCAGCTCCTGCTAACATGCCCGGGAAGGCTGCGGAGGACGCCCTGGCTTTTTGGGGAGTAAACTATTGGAAACAAGTCCTCTCCCTCCCTTCCATTCCTCTCTTTCTGTAACTACCCTTCAAAGAAATAAAATTTAAAAAAAAAGCTTTTTAAGACACACAATGTTAGCTGCAAGAAGTACTAGCTGCTTGCAGAGAGGTCTGAAGAAGCGGTGTGGGAGGGCCGGGCCGGGAGGGAAGCGGCCGCAGGAGACCTGTCAGTGCCAAGGGCACTGGGGCTCTGCTTCTTGCCACCGGCTACTCTGGGGCTCATTTAGGGATCACAAGGGTTAATGGCTCTTTGTCAGCGAACAAAGCCCGACCACTGTACCAAGCGACAGAAAGTTAATTAGGTGAGATCAGCCGAACCTGCTCAGGTTTCTGACTCACTTGATTTTGTGAGAAGCCAAGGAGTTGACATATTCTGCCTCCGAAGGAGCCAAAATGAGCAGGCTGCTCCCGTGGCAGCCAATCCGGGCGGTTCTCCCGATGCGGTGGATGTATTCTGCAGGTGAAGACGGCGCGTTGTACTAAAAAGGGTAACACAAATGAAGGCGTTCACACATCAAGGGGTTGCCATTAATTGGAAGTGCAATGCCCCTCACCTGCCTCCAGGAAGCCCAAGAATTAAATCCTGGTGCTATGGTTACTCAAACACAATCACTAGAAGTCAGTCAAGCCTGAATCTTCTGGCTTCATTGGAAGTAACAAGGTTCTGACACGCAAATGGGAACAGTGGCCAAATTTCAGAAAAACGAGATGTCTTCTTGTCCCAATATCTCCTTTTTAATTTTACTTCTCCACAGGTCTCTTCATTTTCCTATTTGCATCTTTTCACTGAGGTGACTGCAAGGTGAACATGCAGGAAGGTGGGGTAAGTGTCTCTAGGACGCCCACACGACCTTGGCCTACTTCTCGGGCACACTTAGCAGCAGCAGCGAGCAAACAGCGGTCCTGGATGGGGTGGGCGCCTGACTGCAGGGTCCTGGGAGGCACGGCTCCCCTGCCCGCAACCAGCCAGGCTCCTTGCAGGCAGCTTGGCACGGTGGCTGCCCGGGCCGACTCACATTACCTCCAGCAGTCACCGTCTGACTGCCCACTCTTCCCTGTTTCCCCCTTTGCTGCCACACAAGTCAAAGGTCAGAGGGCCAGTATGACCAAGGCCGCACTGATACCCAAAACTCATCACCCCATAAGGTGGCCCCGAGAGATCAACTTTGTCTACGTGGTCTCCCACACCTAAGAACTACACCTTCTCATCTCCACATGGCTCTGCAGCCTGTGGCAATGGGGCATCGCCTCCAGTCCTGGGGCGTCAGTCTTCCTAGTCAGAGCGAGGCATGCAATTTCACTCAGATGTGAATAAGAACGGCAGAATCCCCTGGCCTCACACAGAAGGGCTTAAAAATATCATCACGGAGACTAACGAAAAGACAAAATAACCCACCAGTCTGTAATGCCAACACCTGTACCCTCTGGGAAAGTGTCAGGCTAGAAGTGTGCAAGAGGCACTGTGGAGGTGTGCGTGAGGCGCCGTGGAGGTGTGCGTGAGGCGCTGTGGAGGTGTGCGTGAGGCGCCGTGGAGGTGTGCGTGAGGCGCCGTGGAGGTGTGCGTGAGGCGCCGTGGAGGTGTGCGTGAGGTGCCGTGGAGGTGTGCGTGAGGCGCCGTGGAGGTGTGCGTGAGGCACCGTGGAGGTGTGCGTGAGGCGCCGTGGAGGTGTGCGTGAGGCGCCGTGGAGGTGTGCGTGAGGCACTGTGGAGGTGTGCGTGAGGTGCCGTGGAGGTGTGCGTGAGGCGCTGTGGAGGTGTGCGTGAGGCACTGTGGAGGTGTGCGTGAGGCGCTGTGGAGGTGTGCGTGAGGCGCTGTGGAGGTGTGCATGAGGCACGTGAGGCGCTGTGGAGGTGTGCGTGAGGTGCCGTGGAGGTGTGCGTGAGGCGCCGTGGAGGTGTGCGTGAGGCGCCGTGGAGGTGTGCGTGAGGTGCCGTGGAGGTGTGCGTGAGGTGCCGTGGAGGTGTGCGTGAGGCACTGTGGAGGTGTGCGTGAGGCGCTGTGGAGGTGTGCGTGAGGCGCCGTGGAGGTGTGCGTGAGGTGCCGTGGAGGTGTGCGTGAGGCACTGTGGAGGTGTGCGTGAGGCACGTGAGGCGCTGTGGAGGTGTGCGTGAGGCGCTGTGGAGGTGTGCGTGAGGCGCCGTGGAGGTGTGCGTGAGGCGCTGTGGAGGTGTGCGTGAGGCGCCGTGGAGGTGTGCGTGAGGCGCTGTGGAGGTGTGCGTGAGGTGCTGTGGAGGTGTGCGTGAGGTGCCGTGGAGGTGTGCGTGAGGCGCCGTGGAGGTGTGCGTGAGGTGCCGTGGAGGTGTGCGTGAGGCACCGTGGAGGTGTGCGTGAGGCACGTGAGGCGCTGTCAGGAATCTAACTGCTCCCTGCGGTCAATGGGCATGGACCTGGCTGAGCCATCTCCTCTCATACACAGTGAGGCCTCCCAGGGGCCGCACGATTCCCATTACTTTCATATTGTGGAAACTTGGGTTGGTGACATGAATCAGCCTGGGAGCTGGAGAGCCCCTGCCTCCTCCAGTCCCTGCACTCCCACTGCCTTCTGCAGCAGTGCCGCATGTCACAACGGTGTAGGTAAGACTGGCTGCTGCCTGGTTACCAGGGCAACACCCAAGAGGGCAATAATCATTATTCTACTTAAAGCGATTGCATCAGCTCACGATCACATATTCCTGTCTCCAGCTCACACCGTAACAACTAAAAAATTACCTGAACAATCCACGTGACCTGCGGGAGATCCAAGCCGCGAGCTGCAACATCCTTCAAAGCAGAAAAGACAGTTTAGGAGTGAGTTTTCTGAACCTTTCTGAGGGTCACGGAAACACTGGATCATCCAGTGCAAACTGAGGGCTCACTGCCCGCCCCAGCGCCTGCACGCACACAGGCTCACATATTCCCCCTCCAAATTCTGCAGAGAGCATTAGGGAGCCCATAATGCACCAAGGTTCTTTTGAGGTTAAGAAATGCTCACGGGACCCGGTGGCGTGGCCTAGCGGCTAAAGTCCTTGCCTTGAACGCGCCAGGATCCCATATTGGCGCCAGTTCTAATCCCAGCAGCTCCACTTCCCATCCAGCTCCCTGCCTGTGGCCTGGGAAAGCAGTCGAGGAAGGCCCAAAGCTTTGGGACCCTGCACCCATGTGGGAGACCCGGAAGAAGTTCCTGGATCCTGGCTTCGGATCGGCATAGCATCAGCCGTTGCGCTCACTTGGGGAGTGAATCATCGGATGGAAGATCTTCCTCTCTGTCTCTCCTTCTCTCTGTATATCTGACTTTCCAATAAATAAATAAATCTTAAAAAAAAAAAAATAGAAAGAAAGAAATGCTCACGAAGGGCCGAGTGGGTGACTTCGGGAGGCCAGCCCGAGACTGCCCTGCCTCAGGCAGCCCATCAGGGCGTGCTTCATCCGAGCACTTGCAGCATGCTTTCCCAATCTGGATTTTATCCACAAAGCCACTTGGCAATGAACGCATTCATGGATTAACTGTTAGCTATCAGCAACACTGGACACTGAGATGACATGGAGGTTTGCGTGGGCTGTGCCATCCCTCAAGGTCTCGGGGACCGATGGGAGCTGCCAAACATCCGCTGGGGACGTTGCTCGTTAGCTTCAGAGAGCAGGAGGGACCGAGTCGTCCCCTGCCCTTCTGAGAGCAGTGTCAGAAAGTAGGCCAGGGCTGCTCACACTTCAAAGACTTAACCAGGCAGCTGAACACTATAAAAGCAATGGGATTTATGTTTTTCTTTTCAACTAGTCCCTACCTGAAGAGTAAAAATTCTGCACACCTCCCGCTGTCTCACCATTCAGGGGAGACAAGCAAACGGGAACCACCTTACCTTTAGCAAGAAATCTGCACTCAGCATTCTTGTTCTGGTGCCACTGTCATAATGAGAACATCCCCAGCTACCACTTAGGGAGCACTCATACGACAAGGTGTTGAACATTTTACCTGCATTATCTTGGCAACGCCTCAAAACAACTCTTCATGACAATGCCCACCCCATTGGACAGGGGCGGAAAGAAGGCCCGGTGAGGTCCTGTGGTTCACCCCAGCACACGAGGCTGACAAGGGGGACTCCCCTCAGATAGGTCTACCTGTGCTTTCCCAGGGCCTTACGCATCCCACCATCAAGAAACGCCCTGCATCCCTCACACGCTCCAGGCAGCGGTGCTAAGTGGTACAGGCCTAGGGCTGGGAGTTTGGTGCCAGGTGGTGAAATCCCACCCAGAAGTCCGCCCAGACATGCCAGCAAAGCAGTCAGCTCCATCACAGCGCTGCCTGGGCCTACAACCTGGAGGGCACCCAGCGTCTGCTGGCAGGAGATGAAGACTGTATGGCCAAAGCCCACCTCGCTTACCACCAGTGTTCTAATCAGAATAAAGATCTTTCTTTGCAGGGCCTGGAGTGACGGTTCATTGGCTGACTCCTCCCCTTGCAAGCACCGGGATCCCATATAGGCACCAGTTTGTGTCCTGGCTACTCCACTTACCCATCCAGCTCCCTATTTGTGGCCTGGGGAAGCAATGGAGAATAGCCCAAAGCCTTGGGACCCTTCACTGTGTGGGAGACCCAGAAGAAGCTCCTGGTTTTGTTAAAAGCTCAGCTCCTGCTGTTGCAGCCATTTGGCGAGAGAAGATCTTGCTCTGTTCTTTTTTCTGTAAAATTTGCCTTTCCAATAAAATAAACAAATAAATCTTAACAACAACAACCCAAAAAACTGTATTTTAAGTGTACATAGAAGTGCAAACCTAAGTATCATTTCACAAAGAGGTCCTGGAAGGAAACACTCGAAAGCATACAAAAGCTGCCCTGGCAGGCCGGGGGGGCATCAGCAAGGCTTCCTTTCAGGAACCTTCTGACTGAGACCGAGCAGCGTTCTGACATAGCAGACATGACCAGCTGCCGTGCCATGGGAAACAGTCACATCTACATTGTCTTCTTGTCCAAAGCAACCAAACCAAGCAAATAAGGATCAAGCTAAAAATTCAAGCCCAACTTCCACCATTCCATAGAGCCAACTACCAGTTTACATAAAACATGGGAGAAAAGAGGAAAATGTTAAACCATACCACAAGGATATAATTAGCAAAATCCAGAATGCAGAATTCTAAAGATAAAACAATGGCTTTTTCAACAAAAAAAAAAAAATTGAGGGGCTAGGGAGGAGAAGGAAAGCCTCAACACAGTACCCAGGCAGCTGGGCACACGGAGTCAACTCCCACATGGGCACACTGGTGGAGCGTCTTAAAGGAAGTTTATGAAACTGTCCCGATGGTCCATCTAGGCAGGGAGAGACCTGGGCGACTTTCTGCATTGTTCATGTTAACAATTCATCTATTTATTTGAAAGGCAAAGCATCAGAGAAAAGGAGAAAGCTCGAGAAGGGAAGGGAGCTGGATGGGAAGTGCAAGCAGCCGAACCAGCACGTGGATCCAGGATGCTGGCGTGGCAAACGGCGGCTCACCCCACGGGCCATGGGTCACGAGGCTGGGCACTGCCTGTCCTTCTCCCCTGGGATGCTGGCGTGGCAAACGGCGGCTCACCCCACGGGCCATGGGTCACGAGGCTGGGCGCTGCCTGCTCCTTCTTCCTCTGCACACAAACCTCCCTTTCTGGTATCATCGGAAACTGAGTTGTAACATCATGACATTTTAGTTCTACATAGTTGAGCAGGCATCTCCTAAGTGAAAGGCATTTTATATAACCACAAAACCATTATCACACCTAAGAAATTTAATATTGTAAAACATTATTTTTTAATGAACTGAATTTAAATTTCTCCAACTGTACTTATCATGTTTTTCTTAAAAAAAGAAAAAAACTTTTTGGGCCCAACACGATGGTCTAGCAATGAAATCCTCACCTTGCAACCACCGGGATCTCATATGGGGTGCTGGCTTGTGCCCCAGCTGCTCCACTTCCCATCCAGCTCCCTGCCTGTGGCCTGGGAAAGCAGCATAGGACGGCCCCTGCACCTGTGTGGGAGACCCAGAGGAGGCTCATGGCTCCAGATCAGCTCAGTTCTAGCCAATGCAGCCCCTTGGACAGTGAACCAGTGGACAGAAGATCTCTTTGTCTCTCCTTCTCTCAGTAGATCTTTCCAATAAAAATAAAAATCAATCTTTAAAAAATAAGAGTGAGGTTGATTTTCATTTGAAAAAATTACACACAGAGAGACACAGAGCAGATTTTCCACCTGCTGGTTCATTCCCCAAACAGCTGCCAGAGCTAGAGCTGGGTCTGTCTGAGGCCTCGAGCCGGAGGATGCCTGGCCAAGTGTTTGGGCCATTTTCCGCTGCCTTCCAAGGTGCATTGGTAGGGAGGTGGATCGTAAGTGAAGCTACTGGGACTCCAACCCACACCCACACGCGATGCTGGTGCTGCAGGCAGAGCCCCACCCCTTCCACCATGGTGCCCGCCCCTGCCTTGCTCTTTAGGTCATCTCCCTTCCCTCAACCAGGATTGAACTACAGGCCATTCATCCTACTGACGGAGTTCTGGAGACTTTTACAAGCTGGAATGGCACCTTTGCCCTCTGAGAACTGAGTGGCTGGGTGGCTCTCATTCCGGACGGCTCCAGCTTGAGGACCACCCCACAGTCTGGATTTGTCTACCTGCTTCCTGAATGTAAGGCTCAAGTTAGCCGTCCTTGCAGGCAGATGAGGGGGATCTGCAGAAAGTCCATGAGAACAACCTCGCATGGATTTCAAAGCACTCTTGTTCCACCACAGACTTGGCATTTAATTTCATCCTCCGCAAGCTCTCTTCTGCCCCTCACACACGTGGGTTCAGGGTGGCATGGACCACTCAGGGCCGCACGGCGGACAACAGGCCCTGGGCAAGGTGAAGACTAGTGTGAGGACGGGGCTTGGCTTCCCAGCATTCCCAAGGCTTCCTGTCCACTGAAGCCTTGCTGTTGCTGACTAAGTTCACGGCACCTTCCTTTCACTCTTCAGCTGTGAACTCTGGGGTAAAGAACAGCCTCCCCCACACTTCCAAACATCCCTGATGGCTCAGAAATACACTTTCTTTTTTCATTTTTGTTTGAAAGGCAGAGAAATGGAAGAGAGAGAGAGAGAGAGAGAGAGAGAGACCCCTCCTGCCAGCCAGTGTGCTCCCCCAATGCTTCAATGCTTGCAACAGTGAGGCTGGACCAGAATAAGCCAGGAGCCCAGACTCATGCAGGGGCTTCCATCCTGCCGGCAGAGACCAGGCCCTTGAGCCACCTCAGGGGCAGATCAGCAGGAAGCTAAAGTGAGAAGCGGAGTCAGAACTTCAACGCAGACCTTCCAATGTGGGATGCAGGCACCTTGGCACCTTTCCCATCTGCTGCTCCGGAGAAACCAGTACCGGTGGTCTCCGTGAGAAGCATACTATTCCCTGCCACCATCCCTCCCCCTGTGCCTGGGAGCATGGGGCAGCTCTGTACTTGCCCCAGTCCTGCTGGGACCCTGCAAACAGCGGCTGGGCTGCTCCTACCAGGCATTTCCACATACTACAAGAGCTGAAGGCTGGAGCTCAGGGCTGCCTCTATACTAAGCACACCTGATGTCTTGAGAAAACTGTTGAGTTTATTAGGAAGGGACTTCCCCATTTAAGTGCTCTGTGGTGGGTCACATGCAGATAACAGGCTGTCTCAGCATTGCAGACAAATTCTATAAAAAATCCAACGTGGTTTAGTAAATTCATCCAAGTAAAACCCCAAACTGCACACAATATTCCGGCATGGGAGGACAACACGCTGCCACAGCGAGTCAACTCCTCCAGCCTCTACTTGCTGCATGAATGAGCTAGCTCTGGGCAGCTGCAGACACAATCTCTGGTGCTGGGCAACCTTGCCGAGAGCCACTGCGATCACCGCCTTGTCTGAGCTCACACACACCTGATCTAGCCACTGTCGTTAGCTTCTCTCTAGCCTAGTTCAGGCTACAGGGAGCAAGGGAAAGGAAGTCCAGGGAACGTCCCAGCTCAGGGCAGCTCAGGGGCACACGCTGTGGGCAGCTCAGGGGCACACTGCGGGCAGCTCAGGGGCACGCTGTGGGCAGCTCAGGGGCACACTGCGGGCAGGCCGGGCAGCTCTTTGAGCCTCAGCTGGCCATCGAGGCAGTGAGAGCAGTGAGGACTAGTCCTGCTTAGCTCACTAGAGCCGTGAAGAGAACAGTGTCAAGGCCTATGCATCGAGTGCCGACAGCGGTCAAGGCCAGAAGGGGCTGCGGCAGGCAGGGCACCTGGAATCCTCTCACTCTTTCCCTCTTTGCACCCCTTTCTCTCTCTCTCTCACACACACACACGAGATAAGGTACTACCAAGAAGCCAGAAACGGCCCCGTCTTCACAGAACGCCATCTCGGTGGCACTGGGCCTACAGGGAACTGACCTGCTGAAGACCTGCACAGCCCCACACACACAGCCAGCCCCACTCCATTTCTTTAAGCTCATTAGGGCAGAAGCATCCCTGAAGCCAGTTCTGAAAGGCACTCCGAGGCGAGGCCTTGCCGGCCCTGGGCTTGACAATCGGCCGCCTCCATGAGACCTGGGAGTACAGATGGAAGGCAGCTTGCTCAGGCGCCAGCCTGTCAGTTGGATTAAAATGACTCATTTATTTACCCAAGCACCTCACAAAGTGCTTTTACCAACAGGGAGAGGGGCCTGCCGTCTCTCTGAGAAGGGACGCAGTGAACTCGCCTCTGACGCCTTCCCGGCCTGCCAAAAGTCATTATTGCCGTGTGTGGAAAGCCATCAGCAGGGTAGAGGCCCCCGCCGTCCGGGTGACAGATTGGGCTGCGTAATCAGAGGAGGAAACAGAGAGTGCAGAAGCTGTCAGAGGCGAGAGATCTTGGCTGGAGCCGCCAAAAGCTGGCAACATGAGTTAGTGTGACTGAGTAAACAGCAAACAATCTCCAAACGGTCCTTCCATGAACTCAAGTGCAACACAATGGAGAAGACGCACTTGACCTACAAGGCATTCTCCCGGTGAAGAGCGAGGGGGCCTCCATTTATTTGGGGTACACTCCTCTCACGGCCTCGCCTTCTTTGTCTCCTGGGCTGGCGCAGCGGCAGCTTCCAGGAAGAGTGGAAGGAGCTGCAGACAGCGTGTCTCCTGAGCTGGGGAGGGACGACTCGGGGACGGAGCAGAGCCCGTGGGAGGGGCCCGGCAGGAGGCACCGGAGGCTGCAGGGTATCTCACCCAGGGACCAGCACGAAGAGCCTCCGGCAGCCAGAAAACTCGGAGCCCCCAGGGAATCCCGGTGGCCGTACCCTCGGTGGCATTTCTGCGGGTCGCCCCACCAACACGACACTGGAACAGAAACCACGTCCTTTCCTCTGGCTTAGGACGGCTTCTTCCCCACAAGCAGGAGCAAACAGTATCTTGCGTTACGTCTTCTGAGTCCAATGAGAACATGGGCTTTAAATTTTCCAGCAACTCCTTCCTAAAAGGCCTTGTGCCCCCTGACCCCTGTCCCCACACCCCGTCACCTCTGCCACATTATCTGGTCCAGGTGGGAGAGAGGGGGGGGGGGAAAGAGAGAGAGAGAGAGAGAGAGAGAGATAGAAAGCGGCATGAAATTAACAAGGTTTGCTTTTAAGATGTTTACAGTTAAGATCAAAGAAACCCACACTTCCACACTCAGGAAGCCCGAGGTGAAGGGGAGAAGGGACTTCTCACCCTGTCTTCCTGAAGACGCTCAGCCAGTCTGCTAGCCTCAGTCAAACAATAAACAAAATGGGGAAATGCAGGGTAACCGGGGAGAAAGCTCCTTCTGCCTCTAAAACAATGCACAACATGATTCCCCTTTATCAAGAGAAGCCAGTCCTCCATCTGCCTCATCCTGACGTGGCCCTCGTTCCTCATTAACACCAAGGAGGCTCCTGGAGAGTGTTCAGATAGCCTGGCAAGCAACAGGCTGCTTCCAAGGACGCCAAGTGACAGTGCCCGCCCCGGCCCGGGTGTGAGCGATCATGGCACACTTCTCCTGTGCCCACAGCTCTCTGACACCACAAGTGCCAGGCCACAGCAAACGAACACGGTCGAAGGAGCAGGAACAGTGAGTAAGCAAAGCAGCTCTCAGCACTGCAAAGCTGTGCCTGTGGCTCGGCTGAGAAGTGGCGACACGGGCCAGCCCCTCCAGTTTCTGTCCTGTCATCTTAACTGCACAGGGAGGACCAGAGGCTGTGGCAGAAGGCTGGCACACGGAAGTGACCTGGACAACCAATGACCACGGCCAAAGGCTTTAGGGATTGGACTGTGGGTGGAAGAGCTTTCCGTGCACGTGCGGCACCCAGGCTGGCAGGGCATGGGAGCTAGGAGCGCTGAGCTTTGGCAGCACAGTATGCCACTCCGGCAGGCTCATACAAACGCCTGCGAGCCCCACGCACAGAGGCGTGATCACTGCTCTGACCCCGCTGACAATTATGTGTATCTTGGAAACAACAATCTTTCCTCCCACGGAAAGCTGCTGAACACACCACAATCTCCACTGCAGGGTCGGCTTCGAGGCTGCCAGCTCCCCTGGGTCAGTAGAGCATGGCAAACTAGAACACCCACAACTCCCCAGGGAGGAACCAGCCCCCGCAGGGTCAAAGGCAGGAAGTGTGCTTCCTATCCCATCCAAACTCCGACCGGGGTGACCCGTACTTTGCTACTCGGCCACACTGCGTCCTCACCTAACACTCACGTGTGACAAAGGGGTCACCCAGCAACACCAAACACACTCACCTCCGCCCCTCCAGTCCAGGAAAAGGCATGTGCGGGGTGGCTCTCAGCAGTCTCTAGGGCCCAGCTATTCACCCAGTTCAACTTGCACATACCAAGTGCCCAATGGCATTGAGCCCAAGGCCTGGTGCCTGACTCTGAGCATTATGCAAACCACCTTCGGGCGCATGGGAGGGGCCAGCAGGGAAGAACTGTGGCTCCTGCAGGGCAACGTGAGCTGAGACCTGTAGTGGGCAGTGCACTGTGGGTGCTGCACACAGGTGGAACAGCACAGCCCGAGGCCGAATGACACAGTCCAGGAGCTGAAGGAGGGGCCTGTTGGTTCAGAAGCCAGCTGAGAGGACACAGATGGAGGTCAAGTTCCAGAAACATTACTGGACAACACACGGATTCATGACCCATTTCCTCATGAAGCAGGTCATTTGGACTCAGTCTTCCCTCTGCACTACGCATTTAAAGATGGTTTCTAGAACAAACACAAACACCTGACTTACGGGAAGAAATACGCAGTCGGACCCTTGCCTCACAGGCAGCAAGTATCCCAGGACTGTGGGCAGCTCCGAGTGTCTCCCACTGGGGAGACTCAGCGCTACAACAAGGAGGTGGCCAGGCAGACCCCGCAGGTGAGTGCCCGCAGGCACACACACACACACACACACACACACACACACACACACACACACACACACCCCTCTCAAAATTTAGAAATAAAACTAATCCTACTGCCTTTAGGATAGCAACAGTCACGGAGTTGCCTAAAAAAGCAACAGCACTCAGCAGGGCTTCGGAGGGTTGTCCAGTTGCTTCCTGTCCCAATTTCCACCTGGCACTTCCCTGCCGGATTTACTAAGTTCACAGAGCAACTTCCTTACTGTACAAACAGCAGCCTCTCCACCCACCCGCTGGAGAGTAAATGGCATGGCCTGAGCTGGCACAAACAGGAAGAGTGTGAGCCCTGGGAGAGACCACGGGGGCACTGGATCCCAAGAGGACACGCCCAGAGGGAACAAGACATGAGCATTCACAAGGTCGACCCGGGCTTCCAGCTACACGGGCCGCAGAGCTCAGGCTTCTAAGAACCAGAGGGCAAGCGAGGAGACGTCGCCTGCCCAAATGGTCCGTTTTCCTTTAAGGAAAAGGAAAGCAGAGTGTTTTGCTGTGGACTTTCTCAGCTCTAATTACTCCCGATAGCTGTAATTTACAAGTTTTTGGTGGCTAGAAATTGCCAAGATTCACACATTTTCAGGCCAACAGCTGCCACTATTAGTAAGCAAATTGCCAAGTCTTCTGCCTGGTGGCAGCCAGCTATGCGTAGCAGTAAGGTGACAAGCCAGAGGTGCAAAGAGACCCACCACACCAAGAGGCCCTGGCACTCCCACCCCCCGAGGGGTGAACCTCAGACAAGTTGTCAGGAGACAAGACATGGCGGCTACGAGACAGACACCACACGCACCGTGCACAGGAGGACGCCCGTTCCAGACCGCGAGAACTCCTGGAACACTGCTGTTCGTTCCTACAAAAAGAAGGGGGACAGGGCCTTGTGACTCGGAGACGAGCTTCAGCCGGGAAGCACAGACCTCCCCGAAGCTTCCCATTTCCTGCGTTTTCAGGCAGAGAGGCTCAGAGAGGCTCATCAGGAAAAAAGGCAACATGGCCGAGGGGTGGGCAGGGCTCCGAGAGCACAGCACAGGTCAACCAGCAATGCATGCAGACCTGGGCAAGGAAACGATCCGACTCCAGAGCTGTCAGCTCCACCAGTGCTGACAACCTGCTTCTCCTCACGTCACCCCTCGAAGGAGAACATTCTAAGGTTCTGAGGGCAGTGGCCGGAGCAGCAAGCTGGGTCAACGCACTTGCTTCAACCTCAGCCGACTGTGGTGAAAGACGCCTGACCCTAACACTTGCACTACGCGAGGGGGGATACCGTCTTCTATGTCCTACTTGTCCCAGGGAGCAAGAGTGAAAAGGAAACATTGAAATAAAATGTAAATTAAAAAGAAAAAGTAAATCACCCCAAAAGGCAGACAGCACCAACAATGGCACCTGCCATGTGCCAGAGCCTGCACACAGAGCTTTTGGCAGACACCGGTGGATGACTACACCCTCTGGGGGAGTCTGGCATCCTCCCCGCCTTCAGGACAGGGATCCGAGGTCACACACCCAGTGCATGAAGGACAGGAGCCTGTCCCCAGAGGGTATGGCTGTACCCACCACGCTAGACTACCGCCGTTACATAAAGCGAGCTAACAGCTGCAGAACTCTGTCCCGACTTGCTGGGACTGCTGGCAGTGACTGAGCCTGTGTCTGTCCCCAGCATCCTCCGGGCTGTCCTGCCAACACCCCTGGTGACAGCAGACCCAGAGCAACGGTCAGGTTTAAAATAGAACCCCGAAGCACAAACAGTCACGGAGTACAAAATCCACACTCGACTGAATCGCAGTTCCTGAAATGCAGGAAGACTGGAACACTCTTGTAAATAGGCTGTGTCCTTGAGTGACCTTGAGTAAATGTACTTTTCTGGATCCCTTGTCCTTAATTATGAAAACAAACGGACAAAGCCAAGAGGAGCCGGACTTGTTCAGGATTGTGGTACACTGTCTCTGGCTTTTTCCGTTATAAATGGTTCACTTTAGAAGCTGGTCCTAGTCTGATCTATCTCGTCTTGGCCGTGCTGTAACCTCTCCCACAAGATGGCCCCTGCCTCGCCGCCCGTCCTCCCATCCTCTCCCAGGCTGTGGAGTGAGCCGCACTCCCCACCGGGCGGCCTAGTTAGGGGTGGAGGGATGCTTCGCAAAGGAGGGGGCGGCACGCCCCCCTCCCCAGCACACGCCTCACCCTGGGCCGCACCCCCGCCCCGGCCGTTCCCCACCAAAGTGCTCTGAGTGCAGCGCTGTGTCTTGTTGACAATGACAGCAGCCGTGCTCAGCAGTACCATATGGGATCCACAATTTAGCTCCATTAATGCTCTTAATTTGAAGACATCAAGCCCTAATTACACACTGGGTACTAAAAAGGCAAAACCCTTCCCTGGTGCCAGCTCCTTAGTGGCGCTCTGTTGCCTTAACAGCTGCTTGAGGCAGACTTAGGCCAAGCGGGGCTCGTGAGCTCTCTCGGGTGGAAGAGCTCCGTGCCCGGGGACAGCGCCAGCACAGCAGCCTGCCCCTAGTCTGAGGGGCACCGGCTGCAGCTGCGTGGCTCATGAGGGTCAGGCTGCTGGGACTCAGTCTGCTCCTGTCCACGCGGGGGCCCCCCGCCGACACGAGCAATGGGGCTCACCTCCTGCTCCATGTTGCCGTGCAGCCTCAAGAACTTGAGTCGAGCGTGGGCAGATGGGGACAGCTCTGAGGCCAGAGCCCCCAAGCTGCTGGCCAGCGTCTGCAGGAAGAGGTGGTAGTGGAACTCCACCAGCTCGCAACTCGAGAAAAAGACGATTATCTTGTGGTCTTGCTCGAACTGCAGCGACACAAGGGGAGCAACACCGAGGTTTCTAAGGTGAGTGCTTCTCTGACACACAGCCACATTGGTTCTGAGTTTAGGCAGATGGTTGTGAACTCTTCTTTCTTTTCTTCTAGAAACGGATATTCCTCTCGCTCAGAGGACGTAGAAATGACACGGCTCTCAGTACCAGGCCCAGGCTGCAGAGTGCCCAGGCCTGAGCCGGCCCCCCTCCTTAAGAAGCAAGAGGCATGAGCCCAGCATGGTGACCTGCTGGCTAAAGTCCTGCTTTGCACACACTGAGATCTGATATGGGCCGCCGGTTCTAGTCCCGGCAGCCTCACTTTCCATCCAGCTCCCTGCTTGTAGCCTGGGAAGGCAGTCGAGGATGGCCCAAAGCCTTGGGACCCTGCACCCATGTGGGAGACCTGGAAGAGCTCCTGGCTCCTGGCTTCAGATTGACTCAATCCCAGCCGTTGCGGTCACTTGCGGAGTGAACCATTGGATGGAAGATCTTCCTCTCTGTCTCTCCTATATGTGTCTGACTTTTCAATAAAAATAAATAAATCTTAAAAAAAAAAGCAAGAGGCATGTGACTGGCACAATGGCTCAACTGGCTAATCTCCCACCTACAAGCATTTTGTATCTCAGCTGCTCCACTTCCCATCCAACTCCCTGTCTGTGGCCTGGGAAAGCAGTCGAGGACGGTCCGAAGCCTTGAGACCCTGCACCCTGCAGGAGACCTGGAGGAGCTCCTGGCTTTGGATCAACTCAATTTCAGCCACTGCAGCCATTTGGGGAGTGAAGCAGCAGATGGAAGATCTTTGTCCCTCCTTCTCACTGTAGCTCTGCCTTTCCAATAAACATAAATGAAGGCATAAATAAAAATGTAAGAGGCAAGGCTTCTCCCCTTACGGAGCTGACAGCCACATGCATGGAACCCAGCAAGCAACAGAAGTTTTTTTTAAGACAAATAAGAATCCTGAGTGAGCGCCTCATGTGAGCATTTCCGGTGCAGTGCCCCTGCCTGCACTGCAGGGATAACACCCGGGCTCTCGCCGACCTTGGATTCCTGACCACGATTCTTGCTCCTCTGGCGTGAGGGACACGTGCAGAACACCCACCTCCCGCCACGCAGGCACAGATTACGTACACATCATGGCAGAGACAGCTTAGAGAACGCCTTCTCTGGCATTTCCACCCGACAGACGCTCCCTCCTCCCCCTACGGGCCCGCCTGATCCCTGGTCGCACCTTGCACTTCTGTAGGAGGAAGGCCGCCAGGCAGACGAGTCTCAGTTTGCTGGGGACCAGTGTCACATGTTGATCCAGGCTCTCCGGGATCGCAAAGCCATCCAGCTCGGGACCCGACTGCAGGGGAGCCACTTCTTGGATTGCTCTGTCTTCCGGCTGACTCCTCTCACGGCTTTCGTCCAAGACAGAAATACTGACCGGATCTTGCAAGCTGATATCGGCAAGCCTTGTCACGCCTTAGACAGAATGCAACAGCAAAACAGACACACAGCCCGTTGGCACACTAACCAAATCCTAGCACTGACCCATCCCAACTTCTTCCCAATAGCCTCAACAAGCCATCACACCCGTGTTTTCCAACTCAAACTCTCATCCACGGAAGACCGTCCAGAGGGGAGTAGCCTGTGCCCTTGTTCTGTCTTAAGTTACTAGAGCCAGCCAGGTTTCCCAGGTGGCTTTGCAGCACGCACGCTCAGGGCCTCCTGCTGGACGTGCAGCATCAATCTACAAGGAGGACACAGGACAGTTTGCAAGTTCTGACCTCAGACTCTTTTTCATTTATTCTCTCCAAATTCAAATTCCCTTGATGCTGGGGGCCTGCAGCACCACCATCCCATGTGGGCACTGGTTCGAGTCCTGACTGCTCCTCTTCTGATCCAGCTCCTTGCTAGTGGCCTGGGAGAGCAGCAGAGGATGGCCTGAGGCCTGGAGCCCCTGCGTGCACACGGAAGACTTGGAGGAAGCTCCTGGCTTTAGACCCGCCCAGCTTTGGCCCTTGCGGCCGTTTCGGGAGTGAGCTGGCAGATGGATCTCTGCCTATTCTTGTCTCTCTGTTAACTCTTACAAGTAAAATATATAAATCTTTAACAAAAACTGTTTCTGGCCACTTGAAGGTTCTTCAGACAACATGGACCGGGATGTCAGGTAAACCAGGCATATCACACAAATGGTGTGTTGTTTTCAGGCTGATTCTGGAGTTTTCTCAGGCCTTAGTGTCCCCACCTGAGAGAGAGCTACTATGTCCATCTCCTGAGGGCAGAGGACAAAAGAGCTGCAGGCACGGCCACTGTGATGCCCAGCGTCTCTTGGGAGCAAAATGGGATCACACTCGGAAACACTTGGGTAAAGGGCGCAGTATCTTCAGAACGGAGGGTGGGAGACCCTCCGGGTGAGCGGCCCTCCTGGTGGGCGGCCCCTGGGTCCTGATGGCCAGCCCTCGTGGTGGGCAGTCCCTGGGTTCTGATGGCCAGCCCTCGTGGTGGGCAGTCCCTGGGTTCTGATGGCCAGCCCTCCTGGTGGGCGGTCCCTGGGTTCTGATGGCCAGCCCTCGTGGTGGGAGGTCCCCGCATTCTGGTGGCCAGCCCTCCTGGTGGGCAGTCCCTGGGTTCTGGTGGCCAGCCCTCCTGGTGGGCGGTCCTCCTGGTGGGCGGCCCCTGGGTTCTGATGGCCAGCCCTCCTGGTGGGCGGTCCTCCTGGTGGGCGGTCCCTGGGTTCTGGTGGCCAGCCCTCCTGGTGGGCGGTCCCTGGGTTCTGATGGCTAGTTCTCCTGGTGGGTGGTCCCCGCGTTCTGGTGGCCAGCCCTCCTGGTGGGCCGTCCCTGGGTTCTGGTGGGCAGTCCTCGCGGTGGGCTGTCCCTGGGTTCTGGTGGGCAGTCCTCGCGGTGGGCAGTCCCTGGGTTTTGGTGGCCAGCCCTCACCCTGGCATCTCCTCTGTCAGTCTTCAGTGACTGGGTAAGGCAGGTGTGCAGGACCTGCCAGTCTGAAGGGCAGGCTTCCTGGGACACCTTCCTCCGAGGCTGCGTGTCCCTGTGGGCACAGGCTCAGGTACACTGGGGCCCCTTCTCAGGAGTAGAGAAGCAGGGCCCGTCACGTCCCACTCACCTTCCGTGAGTGTGGCTGACAGCAAGATGTTCTGTCGCTTCTGGCACTCGGCGTTCACGGCATTCAGTATCACTGTGATGTCCTTTTCAAAACCCAAATCCAATATCCTGTGATGAGAGAACTCCAGTCGACGGAGGAATCAATGGGACACGAGACTGCAGCAGCCGCGCGAAGGTGGCAACACGGCCCTCCCTGGCGCCTCCCGCGCTGGCTCACCTGTCTGCTTCATCCAGAACCAGCCACCGCAGCCGGCTGAAATGGATGTTCTTGGTGGATTTTATATGATCCACCAGACGACCAGGGGTCGAGATAAGGATATTTATTCCTTTGCGGATTCTGTGGAAAAATCACAAAGCATAAAAGGCAAGTCACTCAAACAGTGCTACATCAATAAACACACACACGAAAAGGTGAGGGAGACAGCTTCACTTCAGTGGCCACGGCCTGGCATCCCAGCAACACGGCCTGACATCCCAGCAACACGGCCTGGCATCCCAGCAACACGGTCTGACATCCCAACAACACGGCATCCCAGCAACACGGCCTGGCATCCCAACAACACGGCCTGGAATCCCAGCAACACGGCCTGGCATCCCAGCAACACGGCCTGACATCCCAAAAACACGGCCTGACATCCCAAAAACACGGCATCCCAGCAACACGGCCTGGCATCCCAGCAACACGGCTTGACATCCCAGCAACACGGCTTGACATCCCAACAACACGGCATCGCAGCAACACGGCCTGGCATCCCAACAACACGGCCTGACATCCCAACAACATGGCCTGGCATCCCAACAACACGGTCTGACATCCCAACAACACGGCATCCCAGCAACACGGCCTGGCATCCCAACAACACGGCCTGGCATCCCAGCAACACACAGCAGCAGCTGGGTCAAAGGCCCCACACACGTTTCCCACTGCCATAGCACTGACTGCCAAGATCGGAAACTGTTATGAACTTTGAAAGGAATCTTAACCAAGGGGCCTACACTCTGCCCCCAAAGCAATTCAGACAACCCCAGTTTTCTCCGAGACAATCACCCCTTTATTTTGCAGTGACAACTGGAAAGACATTTCAACTGGTCTTATTTTATTTTCTAGCTCTGCTTGCAGCTAAGTACAGCCAAGTTCTGGTGATGTGACCACGCACATCACACAGGACCCCTGGTGGGAAGAGGTATGGCAAGAACACGCGCTAGCTGGAGCTCCAGCAGCCACCTAAAGCCATGAGGCCAGTGTGGACATGCAAGCCTCCTCCAGCGGTGCAGAGAGCCGAGCTTGTGGATTGGCTCTGCAGACTTCTCAGCAGTCAGATGAAATAAAACCGCTGCACTGCCACTGTCGACGGCAGAATGTGACCCTAAGCAAAACCAAACCTACAGGTCCCGGGCTCAGCACACGCGGCTGGAGGTGTTCGTTAACAGCACACAAGGAAACCACTTCACAAAGGATGCAGGTGTTGGGGTGTGCGTGCACTTCCCGACACCCACTGCGAGCAGGAAGCCAGCATCGGCGCATTCGCATAAAGCGAGCTCCAAGGTGTCTGCTTGCGATTTCACTTTCACAAACCAAACAAGAAATGCCTACTCCAGTTACACAGAAAGGGCACCTTGCCAGGCGGTGGGTGTCTGTGGGCATCGCCACTGTCCTCACCATGAGGGAACCTGCTGGTGGCTTGTCAACATGCTAAAGGCAGCACTGTCTGCAGGTGACAATCCCCAGTGGACTCGAGCCAGCCCCGTGCAATGGGACGACGGCGCGCTGCAGGCAGGGCTCTCCATGTGTGGAAAGAGCAGGCTTCACTGCGCAGAAAGACAAGTTCAAAAAGGAACAGACCACACTCTTCCTACCTGGCTTTTTCGGCTTTTCTTTTTTCTCCTCCCATTAACACTCCAGGCACAATCCAGGTAAAGGGCTACAAAGACAGACGGAAGTGAGTGTGCAGCCCAGGTCAGAGGCTACAGACGGGAGGTATCAGGGTGGCTCAGTTCCTCTCCCTTCATCAAGCTGCTGGGGAAGGACTCCAGTGGTAACCCGAGAGCTGATCGCCAGCCTTCCCTAAGGACCCCCTGCCACCTTGCCCCTCCCTTCGCTCACTGCAGGCTGAGGCATCTCCTCCACAGGCCAGCACACGGAGCTCCTGGTCCATCTTACCTTGAGCAGCTTCTGGACAGTGTCAAAGCTTTGCAGGGCCAGCTGTAAACAGGAAGCAGTAAACTCGTGAGCAGGTGCTGTCCCCCCATCCTTCTGTCCTCTCTCGGGCAGTGCCACGTGATAAGGATTCAAATTTCAACCTCAAGTGAGAACTTCAGAAGACCCCCGCCCTCAAGTGAGAACTTCAGAAGACCCCCGCCCTGCCACAGAGTCTACCCCAGAGACACTCCGGGGTCTGGGCCTGCTCTGCGGCCGACAGCTGGGGGGATTAGAGAAGAACCCGCCCGGTTCCTTCACACACAGAAATGGTGCTATGTGCTCCCTCTGCTGGCTCAAACTCCCAGAGTGCCACAAGGCCAGTTCAAGTGCAAGGTGCACAGGATGGAAAAAGGAAGAAGTCCCTGCATCTAGCACTCCTCTGAGGGCTAAGCCGGAGTGGCAACGCAACGGGCCGACTTGGCAAGCTTGTGTCAGAGCAGAGCGTCTGAGACGGGCGACGGCTCTTCCTCGAACCCATGGAAGCGAAAACAAAGCGAAACTCACAGGCCCAGAACACAGTAGAGTAAGGTTACACAACATTACCAAGATGTCTCTGCAGTATCCCGTTAGCCAACGAGACAGCTATCTGCTCTGCACGTGTTTAGTACTCTAAGACATCCCAAGGAAGCAGCAAGTGTGCTGCGGAAAAAGAGCCTGCCCTGGGCCCGGCGCCATACCGTAGCGGTTAAGGTCCTCGCCTCAAACGCGCCGGGATCCCAGTTCTAATCCCACAGCCCCACTTCCCATCCCGCACCAGTTCTAATCCCGCAGCCCCACTTCCCATCCAGCTCCTTGCCTGTGGCCTGGAAAAGCAGTGGAGGACGGCCCAAAGCCTTGGGACCCCGCACCCACATAGGAATCCCAGAGGAATCTCCTGGCTCCGGATCAGCTCAGCTCCAGCGGTTGCGGCCACTTGGGGAGTGAATCATCGGATGGAAGATCTTTCTCTCTGTCTCTCCTCCTCTCTGTATATCTGACTTTCCAATAAAAATAAATAAATATTTTTTTAAAAAAGCCTGCCCCTGCCCGTGAGGGAGCCCCCGGCCCTGCCCGTGAGAGCGCGCTTGGGCACTGCGGCCCTGAAAGGCTGACTCCAAGCCTCCAGTGCAAGAAGTGATCAGCATTTGCGACAGAAAACAGACACCCTATCTGACACTGCCTCTGTGCGCAGATAAAACCATCAGGGAGCAGAGATTTCCACCGAGAAAAAAAACACTGAGCAGCTTAGCCTTCGGGAGAAAGTGATGCTTTCTGCAGTAGCAGCTTCTTAAAAAAACGTTCAATTTCAGAACCAACTGCTCTTGACTTTGAATTAACTTATTAGAGAACAAAAAAAGGCAACAACCATGAGGTGGGTGTTGGTGCTACAAATAAGCCACCTGCTGGCCCGGCAGCCCCGGGGAGCGGGCCCGGCTCCCGTCCAGCTGGCACCGGGTTCTGAACCCTGACCTGGACCCGTCCAGCCCCGGGGAGCGGGCCCGGCTCCCGTCCAGCTGGCACCGGGTTCTGAACCCTGACTTGGACCCGTCCAGCTACTGCGGGCTGTCGGAGAGAAAAACATCAGATTCAATAGTTGTCTCTTCTGGCCTTTCAAGTGAAATGAGGCAAAAATAAAAACTGTAAGAAATGTTTCTTTTAATCTGTTACATTATTGATTTTCAAAGATTTGTTTATTTGAAAGGCCAAGTTATGAGATGGAGACAATCCGCCAACTGCTGCTTCCCCAATAATCAGGCTGCACCAGGCTGAAGCCGGGTGTCAGGAACCCCATCTCAGTCGCAGGAGGAAGCGGCAGGGGGCCAAGCATCCGGCCACCTTCCTCTGATTTGGTGGGAGCATTAGCAGGGAGGCCAGCTCACAACTGGAGCAGCTGGGACGTGAACCAGCTCCCACATGGGACACCAGTGTCGCAGGCAGAAGCTGAACCCACTGCACCACAACGCCTGGCCCTGTGATTGCCTTCATGGGTCAGAAATCTAATAGTGTTATCAGCTTTTTGATAACATGGAGTTGCTTTCCCGTTCTTACTCTTTTCAAAGAGTGCTTGGAGTTTTCATCTTAATATTTAGGAACCAGCAAAAGAGAAAAAGCATGTAGTGGTTTCTATAGCAGGAACACAAATGGTAAAGCAGTACCTAAGTTAAAGTGTGAGCTGCTTACCTCTCTCGTCGGCACTATTACCAGGGCGTAGGGACCGTCACTGCGCTGCGGACAAGAAGAGAAACACTGGGAGTGGCGTGAACCAAGATGGTAGAGCCCCGATGGGCAGAGCACAGTAGCAGCTGGCGGCAAACCTCGGCGGAGAAGGAGCGCAGGCAACAGCGCTGCCGTCCTCCTGGCACACAGCAGCGCTCGGGAGCTCCTGCCCCGCAATCAGACAGGACAGAAGCGAGAGGTGTACGGGGAAGGGAGTACAACCAACAGGACTTCAGCTGAAAATCTATTACAAGTAAGACATTCCAGTCAAGCAGCTGGACGCAGAGTCACCGATATAAAATGCTAGAAATTACGATCTGTGAAAAACTCACCAATGACTGCAACAGAAAAGGTAAACAGCCTAACCTCAGAATGCACAAAATCCGCAGAGGAAACCCTGACCCCTCGGGGGAAAGGCAGGATCTGCAGTGGTAGCTGATGCAGTTACGGAGACTCGGCAGTAACAACGAACCGATGCGTTCTGAGCCAATACGCACACGCGGTGCACCTCGGACAAAACGCCATCGAGCGCGCACGCACATGCAACTATAACACAGCTAACTACACAAGCTGATTGCAAACTGCTAAGGAAAAAGAAATTTGCAAAAATAGTCAATACATTTATGAAAACTGTGTATCAAAATAATTTAAAGCTTTGGCAGTTTAAAAAAATGACATTAGAATATAAACAGAGGTCTCGAGAGCAAATAGGATCTAGAACAAAATTTTAAAAATAGAGAAAAATATGGAATATTACAAGGGCCATTTTGTACTAGTAGGGGAGAGGCACATTCAAAAGTGCTTTGAGGAAAAAATAAAGCTGGAATTAAAATGACCTTGTTATAGGTGACACAAAATTCAGAAATCATCCATCAGTGACAGATTCTGTTATATAAACTGTGGGAATTCAAGATGGAAGAGCAAGTAGATCAAAGCGTGAGTTAAGTGACACATGGGGGGAAGAAAGCAAAGCTGCAGGGAAGGGCCCATCTTCTGCAGAAGTCTACGACCCAGGCCTTGTACTGTGGCATAATGCCACCACCTGTGGCGTGGGCATCCCATATGGGGCCAGTTCAAGCCCCAGCTGCTCCACTTCCCTTCCAGCTCCCTGCTTGTGGCTGGGAAAGCAGCACTGGATGGGTCAAGGCCTTGTGGGAGACCCAGATGAAGCTCCTGGCTCCAAACCAGCCCAGTTCTGGCTATTGCACAGTGAACCAGCTGACGCAAGACCTCTCTCCATAGCCATTCTAACAAAACAAATCTTTTTCTTAAAAGATTTATTTATTCTTATTGGAAAGTCAGATATTCAGAGAGGAGAGGAGAGGAAAGGAGAGAGAAAGAGAGAGAGAGAGAGAGGAAGATCTTCCGTCCGCTGGCTCACTCCCCAACCGGCCGCAATGGCCAGAGCTGAGCCGATCCGAAGCCAGGAGCCCAGAGCCTCCTCCGGTTCTCCCATGTGGGTACACGGTCCCAAGGTTTTGGGCCGTCCTCGATTGCTTTCCCAGGCCACAAGCAGGGAGCTGGATGGGAAGCAGGGCCACTGGATGTGAACCAATGCCCGTATGGGACCCCGACATGTGTAAGGCGAGGACTTTAGACATTAGGCTACTGTGCTGGGCCCAATAAATAAATGTTGGCCTGGCACAGCCTCAATACTACATACACCTTCATACATGGAAAGACGTTCAACCTTGCTCCGAGAAACCGTGATAAAGCATTTCCCCTTTCGCCATCAGATGAGCGAACACAAAAGAGCTGGCATTACTGATGAAGGCAGGCGCACCCACAAGCCCTGGTGCTGTAGGGGATGGGCAGGGCGCATGCTTACACAAGCCTTTAAGAGTCAAGTTTGGCCTTAGCTACCAAAATAAAATGCGAATTACAGCACAGCTGTATATATGTGTAGGAAGTCGTAGAATATTTCAGACTGTAACAGCCTTGTTTGTGGCACGATAATAGATATAATAACTGCACTTCCGAAAGAGGGAATAAATCAGTAATTGACAGTAGAAGCCTGTGATGGAATCCAGCGAATCGGCCATCTATACAGGACTCGGCATGTTCAACCAGATATACTGTATCTAACCAGAAGTAAGTTTAAAAATTGGAGAAACCTAAGTAGCCTGACTCAGGCCCTCAGTCAAGAGCCGCCTTGCAGAGGACAAGGGCTCCAACACGCTGAAGGGAGGAAGGAAGGAAAGCCAGAGACGGAGCAGCAAATTCAATTACTCATGTGGGAGTCATGTTTTGCATAGGAAATGTTTACCCAAAAGGAGAAAAGGATTTGGGATTGAGACTGCAGTCATCTGTGCTCAGCACCGACTCGTGAGACGACACAGCAGCCCACGCCAGGAACAGTAAACATGTTCGTACAACAGAACCAACGTGCCGCTGTGTGACGTGAGCAGAGCCTGACATTTCAAAAGGTGTTGCTACACAGAGAAGAAAGAGGAATCAATCCCTCGCAGGGCACACGTAAGTGAGTAAGGATGGATGTTGAAAAGAAACCAGAGCCCCAACACGGGGAGCCTGCAAACGCAGAGAAACGGCCCCTCTCATTCCATCACCAACACAACTGACCAACCTCCTGAGTGCCTTCAGTGGCTGCTTCCCCGAGAGAAGTTTCAACCAGGAACTGCAAAGGACTCTACTGGGTATTACTGAAATAAGTGAGCCCAAGTGAGGCTTGGGAACAGTTTCCACAGAACATTCCAGGCTTAGATAGAACGGCCTGTTGGCGAAACGTAGACGTGAGGGGCCGTCAGAACACTCTCGGAAGATGTGCATTATCTAATTCTTTCTCCGCTTTCTGAATGCATACTCTACTTTCACTTGTTAATGGCTTTCAACAAAAGCAAATCAAATTCCTGTTGTTCCAAGAAGCCACAGAGCCTGCTGCTGCTGATGCTGCTGGTGGCGGCTAGCACACACTGAGCAGGTGCTACCAGCAGGTACTTCACACCTGCCCACGTGCCGTGGCATGAAACGATTCACCCCACACCACCTGGAGACCGGGGGCTGCCAAGAGCCCCCGCTGCACTGCCCGCGTGGGGTGCGCCCACCTGTGCTCAGAGGGCTGCGCTCCGACTGCGGGGCCCACGACAGCTGCCCGGGCTTGGCACAAACGGAAACAACTCCACGGGCAACAAGTTCTCCAGAGGATGCAAGAGGATGAGACTTCACCGCGTGTCGATAATAATTCACATTAATTCTTCTCTAACCACGTGCCAGGGACAGTGCTAAGCATTTCACATGAATTATCTCACTGTAAAGTGCGTAATGAGAAAATAAATCAGTTACCTGCAGGGAATAAAATTACTCATCTCTCCACCTCAGGGGAGCCAATACTACCAATTTGCTAAGTATTCTTCTAGCTTTTTAATGTATATATGCACATAAACTATTGTTTATGAGACTGGAGTTAACAGTATCTGCTTTTCTTTAATTAACATGGCAACAAAGTAGCTCAAGTTTGCAAGTAGTAACTGAAAAGAAAATCATTTTTAAGTTTTATTTATGTTCATTTTTACATGAAAGGTACAAACAGGCCTCCACCTGCTAGTTCACTCACTGAAGGCCTGGGTAAAGCCAGGGAGCAGGCACTTGGGTGGCAGGGCCTGGCAGGGGCCTGGGCACCCAGGGGGCACGTGAGCAGACACTGCAGCAGAGCGGAGTGGCAGAAAGGGACAAGGACACGCGCCTCCAGAGCAATGACGTCACGTCTGTGCCAAACACCCACCCAATGCCACTTCAATGGGTGCCCATGCAGGATGGCTTCTTTCTTTTTTTAAAGACATATTTATTTTTCCTGGAAAGTCAGATTTAGAGAGAGAAGAAGAGAAAAATATCTTCCATCTGCTGGTTCTCTCCCCACGTGACCTTAACAGCTACAGCTGAGCTGATCCGAAGCCAGGAGCCAGGAATTTCTTCTAGATCTCCGGTGTGGGTGCAGGGTCCCAAAACTTTGGACCACCCTCAACTGTTTTCTCAGGTCACAAACAGGGAGCTGGAAGGGAAGTGGAGCAGCTGGGACACGAGCCAGCACCCATAAGGGATCCCAGCACATGCAAAGCAGGACTTTAGTCGCTAGGTTATTGCACTGGGCCCCTGTACAGGACTTCTGAAAATGGATTTTTAAAATATTTTACTTATTCACTTGAAATAATTCCAGACTTAAAATGTCAAAATAATACAAGAAAATCTTAAATATCCTCATTTTATTTTCCATATATATTAACAGTTATAAAAACCTGGACCAGTGCAATAGCCCAGTGGTTAAATCCTCACCTTGTATGCACCATGATCCCATACGGGTGCTGGTTCATGGCCTGGCTGCTCCACTGCCCACCCAGCTCCCTGCTTATGGCCTAGGAAAGCAGTGGAGGACGGCCCAGAGCCCCTGGGAGCCTGCACCAACATGGGAGACCTGGAGGAAGCCAGCTCCTGGCTTCGGATCAGCTCAGCTCCAGCAGCTGCGGCCACTTAGGCGGTGAAACAATGGACAGAAGATCCTTCTCTGTCTCATAGTCTGTAAATCTGCCTTTCCAATAAAGAAAGAAAACTACAAAAACCGTAGTGAGATGATGAGCAGCCGGACCTTGGCAGTGACGGACAGTATAACTGGTACAGAGACCCTGCTAAGATCTGACCCGCCCACTTACGTGGCCCGCCCCAGAGCCTCACTCAATGCGCTGCATTTATAACGTCTGAGTTCTGTAGCGTTTCTTTGTCTGAACTTAGGACCCTACTACTGCTGACGCCCACCGTGCAGCTCGTCTGGGTGCAGCTCCCCGACGCCTGTTCTCGGGAGCCACAGCAGGTGGACGGGGCCCAGGGCTGTAGCATGCGGTTAACGCGAGGTGGCACAGGCTTCCCGGGGTAAGGCTGCTGCGTCCCCCGTGCGGCTCAGAGGCACGTTGTGTGCAAACACCTTTGGGACGTGAACGCTGCGCTGTTCCTCATCAGTCCCCTCCACTTGCTGTATCTCCATGTCGGTGACAATTCCTGTCTGCAGCAGCATCACCGCGCCACTCGCCTCGCGCGGGCTTTCTCTCGGCTTCACCTCCACACTTTCTTGCTCGATTTCTCCCTATTTACGTCAATTTGGACTAAAAAATGTTTTAGTCTATGGAGCTCTTTGTCACTCAGACAGCAGTAGGCTGGACATCCTCTAATTCTGCCATTCAATATTTAGATGCAGTCAATGAATAACTACGGCAAGAGAAACCATGGTGGGGCCGGCACAGTGCCACAGCCGGCTGACCTCCAACTCTGGTGCCAGCATCCCGCATGGGCACTACCTTTAGCATTGGCTGTTCCACTTCCAGAGCAGCTGCCTGCTTATAGCCTGGGAAAGTAGTGGTGGGTGGATCAAGTCCTTGGGCCCGGCATCCAAGTGGGAGACCCAGAGGACGCTCTTGGCTTCAGATTGGCTCAGCTTCGGCCTCTGCGGCCATGTGGGGGAGTGAGGCAGCAGCTGGAAGATCTGTCTCTGAAACTTTGCCTTTCCAATAAAATAAAATAAATCTTTAAAAAAAAAAAAGGAAATGAACACCCGTTCCCTGACCCCTAACCCCACTGCCCTGCTGCAGCCCAGCCTGCGAGTTGCTAATGCACTATGGACACGGACAGAAACACACGCATATTCACCTGTACTTTGGATGGCATTGCTTGAAGAGACTGAACCACTGGGATACAATAGGCAAGAGTTTTACCTTTTAAAAAAAGAGCAAAACCAGTAAAATCACAACCCTGCAGACCACAGAAACATCCAACCCTCACACACACGTTGGCACTGGGTCAGGCTACACGTGCCCCAGAGCTCTGCTCAGTGCAAGGAAAGCAACACGACCCTCTAGAATGAGGTTTGGCAGCTGGGTCTGCAACAACGACACCGGCCAGGCCCGAAACAGGATCTGAGCAACAGCAGAAGCCAAGCATTTCCTGGACACTCCTGACCACAGCACGACGGGTGGGCCCTCCAGCTGATGGCATGCACTAATCCAGAGTCTCCCTCCCAAACCCAAACCCACACCCACCACCACGCTGCACGACCCACTCCACGGCCAGGGGCCTCGGTGCCACAGGAGGAAGGGCAGAAGTAAAACAGTGACTCACCGGAGCCTGTCTGGGATCTCACGAGAGCATCTCTGCCTTCCAGCAGAGCAGGGATGCTGCGCTTCTGAACACTGAGCCGCCCGGAAGAAAAAGCACATCTTACATAAACACATCACGCAGTTATGTGCCCAGACAGATTCGTGCGGCACACAGCGCACCTGCCCCAGACCCTGATACCCTAACAGCTCCCACCTTAGAAGTCGCTCGAACATTCAAGGTGCTAAGAAACGGATCATTCCAAGGACAAAACTCTAGCTAAGTTTCTGTAATTTTTAGTTTTAGAACCTAATTGAAAACAGTGATGGATCCAGCGCAATCGCCTAGAGGCTGAATCTTTACCTTGCGTGTGCCAAGATTCCCATATGGGCTCAGGTTGATGTTCCCACCCCTCTACTTCCCATCCAGCTCCCTGCCTGTGGCCTGGGAAAGCAGCCGAGGACGGCCCAAAGCCTTGGGACCTGCACCCATGTGGGAGACCCAGAGGAAGCTCCTGGCTCTTGTGGCCACTGGAGTGAGCCAGTGGATGGAAGATCTTTCTCTGTCCCTCCTTCTCACTGTATATCTACCTTTCCAATAAAAAAAATAAATCTTCTGTAAAAAGGTTTATTTTTTTAATATATTTTTATTGCAAAGGCAGGTATATAGAGATGAAGATTTTCCATCCAATGGTTCACTTCCCAAGTGGCCTCAATGACTGGAGCTGAGCCAATCTGAAACCAGGGGCCAGGAGCTTCTTCTGGGTCTCCCACGCAGGTACATGGGACCAAAGCTTTGGGCTGTCCTCTACTGCTTTCCTAGGACACAGGCAGGGAACTAGATGGGAAGTGGAGCTGCTGCGATTAGAACCGGCACCCATATGGGATTCCAGAGCGTCCAAGGCGAGGACTTTAACCACCACTATGCTATTGTGTGAGGCCCTAAAAAAATCTTGAGAAAAAAAGGCAGATAGGCAAGTAGGCAGATAATGGTGAGAGACTGGCCAGAGACTGGCCAGTTTATGAAATTCTGTTTAAATGAGGATGCGGCATCTGGCTGCAGGGTGGGACTCTGGTGGAGACCCCTGTGTCCTGTCTCAGCGCCTGGTTCTGCATGTGATGCTGGCTTTCCAACAGAGACCCTGGGGGAGGCAGTGATGGCAGTAGCTGGATTGCCCCATCCACATGGGAGACTGGCATGGGTAGGACTATGGTTGGTAACCGATTGGATATCACTTGAGTGGGAACAACTGATTGGAGACACAAAACAAAGAGATACTTCCAGGCAAGGGTGTGGAAACAAGTGCTGGGTTCTGCAGACGGGTTCACGGGAACTATGTAAGCTCTTCACTGCCTCCTCCCTCACCCTACGGGACCCTCAGTCTATACAAGCCTGATGCCACTAATAAACTTTGGCCATTGACCATCAGTCAGTAGTCTGTGCGCCAAGTCCATTGCTGCTGGACAGTGACCAGCACTGCCTTCCTGGCTCCTAGCTTGGCCAATCCCCTGGTTACTGAGGGCATTTGGGGAGTGAATCTAAAAATAAATATTAAAAGTATTAAAAATTGGATGAGCATGATAGCAAAAACAGAACTACCACCAAAGCGTGCCACATGCTCTCTTGCTTTCCACAGCAGGAAATAGGGAAGACAATCAAGTGTTGATGTTAAGATTTCCATGTAAAAAGAACAAAGGGAAGCTTGCAGCTATCCAGCAAGCTGGCGGCACGTTCCCGTGCATCCTCACATGTAGAAACAAACAGTAAGGAAACAGCACAGAAATCACTTACATCTGCTTGAGGACACAATAATAAGCACTGTTGGGGTTCCTTAGTCTGCCAACATTCTTACTAATTTTTATTTTTAAAAAGTGGTCATTCAAGTATTCATGCTCACAACGGGGACATTACCGCGCACACCTTTCTGCTCCCCAGGTGTCATCACCTAGCAAACATTGAGACAACTTGCACCTGCCAGCTTTTGGGCTCACCCCAATTCTCACACCAAAAAATCACACACTCCAATTCTGCCTTTTGGCAGTGGTTTCCGAGCAGCACAGACAACAGTGGCTCTCCCAGCTAGAGCAGGGAACAAGACAGAGCAAACCTGGTCCCTCCTGCCTGCAGGCCGGGAAGCCGAGGGAGGGGCAGCGGCCGGGCAAGCCCGCACCACTGGTCAACAACCCACCGGGCAGTTCCCTGAAGCCAAGACACGCGGACACAGCCACATCACCTGCTCACACCCACTGCAGCACTGAAAAGACCAAAGGGAGCCTGAGACTCTTACCTGGTCAGACTAGACATTTTTAAAACTGTATTTATTGTGGAAATCTAAAAAAGAAAAAAAAAAAAACAGCATTTTTCTTTCATATAAACATGTTTTCTTTTATATAAACATGTTTAATGCAAGTGACATAAACAGGAGCCAACATGATGGCAACAGTGTTTAGCTAGTTCCTCCAACAGCACCCTTCGCTGGGGGGAGTTCCCTCCCCAACCCAGGACACAGATGGCCACACCTGGAGAGATGTCAGCCAGGGGAGAGGGCTGGGAGGCCTGCACGGCCAGAAGCCTCCTGCCACGCACACAGCAGATCTCACAACAGAGTCACGCAGCCCCAAACGGCTGCTGGGCGAGGCAGAGGGACCCAGCCTCACCCTGTGGAGTGGGCAGCGGTCCAGTAACCCACCCCAGGAAAGGGCCCCCGGGACAGTGAGCAGAGGAAATCAAGACTCCGAACATCAACACCCTCCTGTCTCTGCTTGCTTGCGGGACTTGAAAGCTCATTCCTGTTGGCTTTTCAGTTGCTAGAAGAGCATTTAAGCAGCTTCCTTTTCCTGAAATTCTCTAAGCTTGCACAGGGGCCTCACTAACACAAGGCCAGCTCATTCCCTGTCCATGGTCACTGTGACACATGCCATCCCGCACCATCCAGCGACTGTCCAGTCCAGTAAATGAGATCCCGGGATGGCAGAGGGCAGGCTTCAGCAGCCAGGGACGAGTGACCATGCACAGCAGCAGAGACCCTGCCATGCAGCGGGCAGAGGAGCCTCTCAGCGACTGCTCTCCCGGGATGTCCCTCTCTGGTCACTCTGAACACACACCCTCGCGCCTGGCCCGCCGATGCGGCAGCATACTCACCAGGTGCGGATGGAGGCCCAGCTCGTGGAAAGTGTCAGGAGTGAACACTGTCTCGTGCACCTGCTTCACCACAGGTCTGCAAAGCATGAACAAACCGGGCATCAGCCCCAGTGTGGATGCTGAGACCGGCACACACCGCACCTCCCCGTCTCCCGGAGCGCCCCGCGCCAGCACACACCTGGGGAGTTCTGGGAGCTCAGGGTTGTTTTTAAACAGTGATGACGTCTTAATGCACGGCTTCTCCTCTTGCTTTCCATCACCTGGAGGGACCGAGTACTTCCTGGGAGAAAGCACCTTTTGGGCACGCCCCTTGCAAGTCCGTTCGGCTTCTCCAACAGTTGTGTTCCTCCGTTTGGCTGGGGGAGCCGCCCCGGATGCTGGCTGTCTCCTCTTGGCAGCTTTCACTCGCTGCGTTCCCAGAAGGAAAGGCAACAAGAGGTGCAGTTAGGGTGTGAGGAAGGCCTCCCAGCAAAGCTGGGCCGCCCATGGAACTGCCTCTCTCCACACTGGGAGCACTAGCCCTGCATGTCAAGCAATGGTTGAGGGTTGGCAGTCTGAGTCTTTAAGTCAGCCTTTTACAAAAGCCAGGAAAAAGGTTTAGCCTCAGCTCATCACACGCACCTGCCAGACTACCCATCGGCTAAGCCACCTTGACGAGGATGAACACGGAGCAGGGGGCTGAACTGGCGGCCAGTCCACCCACAGCCTTCACCTCCATGTGCGTGAAGAGGCGGGCAGGGGAAAGCAGCAGCAGCCAGGCAGGGCTGGGAGGGGCAGGAGGCAGTGCCTGGCTGTGCCAGGAACGGGAGCCCTGGTCGCTGCTGGGCCCGGCTTGGCTCTGCAGCCTGCCCCCCACACCGCTCCCGCAGGCTCAGATGCTCTGGAGACGGTCCCACACACTGCTCCCATTCCAAATGCGCGTTCTGCTCCATCCGTCACTTCTACCCCACTAGCTTCCCGCCGCCCTGCTGGATTGCCAGTCACAGGCCGTACTCCTCTGAGTATTTCCTGCCTGTTGCTCCTCACTCGGTAACGCAGATGTCCAAACTTGCCCTAGGAGAAGAAGCGTTCAATCCTGCACGTTCTTTGCCTTTCTCTGCTGTTCTAACATGAATACAGCAGCCGCCCCTGGTAGCCAGGGCAGGCGGTCCAGAATTCTGCTTCTTCTTAAACCTTGCTTTTCTGGTGGCTTGGTATCACGGCCCATGGTCATGCAGCATACAGCTTGCTGTAGCCACGACTGTCAGTCTCAGACTAACCGAGCCACAGCAGCCATTCTGCTGTCCTTTCCATGAGTAACAGTACTGGCCAGTATTTCACATTTTAGCAGAGTTCAAGAGTTACAGATTTCAGCTTACAGGAAGACAAAGTTGGCTTTCACATCAGCGGACTCATTTGCAAAAATGACATGAAATGTGCAGGTGCCACCAACTTCATGGGCCCATAGACCCCGGGCACCCACAGGCTACCTGGTGGAGAGCCGTGCAGCCTCAACCGTCATGCTGCAGGAAGCCTGCTCTGTTCCTGACCCAGGAACACAAGACGCTCAGCGCAGATCTGCCCCCTTCATCCTGTACCTCCTGGGCGGAGGGGTGCTGCCTGCAGCAGCGTGGGTAAGCTTCCTTCCTCCTGTGCAGGCCACTCCCTCAGACATCATACAATGCCCCCTCCTCTTCTTCAGTCGAAATACCCCAAAACTCTACACCCCAAACCAGCCTACTCATCCCAAATCTGTATGTCAATATCTCTCCAAAAGCAAGTTGTCAAGTGTAACTGTCGACAGGTTTCCCACAGTTAGACCAGAATGGAAGGGCAGTGATAAGATCTTCAAGCCCTTGAACCTGACCTCCACCCCTCACCATGATGATATGGTAAATTATGCTGCGTTCCCTCCCTCTGGGGGCCTGGCACCTGCTGTCCCCACGGCCAGCACCTACTGCCCACCACCCACCCAACACGAAGCAAGGCATTTCCCTGCACCTGTCAGGTGAGGGGATCATGGCAGGAGACTTTCAGAGTCTAAGAGGTCACACCGTGGCCAACGCTGAGCGGCGGTGACCTGCCAGCCTGTGTGTTACCTACACACGTGGGGGACAGGGCCTGCCATCCAACCCCCAGTCCACACAGAACAGCCATGCGGTCTGGCCCAGACGTTACCATTCTACAGCCCAGCTTCCCCACAATGAGGACACCAGTGCCCTAACGCCACTGACTACCTGTGCCCTGCTTGCTTGGAAAACACCCCTTGTCTGACTCCTATGTGACCTGTTATTTTTCTAACACAACATGCATCTAAGTGTTAACAGCCGTGGCATACTGAGTGGTACAATTATGGGTGAGTTTTTAAAGTTTTCCAAATTTGCTGCAACAAGTTGGTATCAGTTTAACAATCAGAAAACAATGAAGAACATACTTTGCACAGCGCTGGGTGTAATTTAAGCTGCTAAGATTTTTGTTTTCAAATCCTTCAGCCTGAATCCAGGCGCTGGCCAACCCACTGAGCGCAGCCCTCCTTCCCAGGTAAGACGTCTAACCAAAGCACGGGAAAGGCCACTGCACTTCCGTTCACGGACCCGCCCCCTTGGTACCGGCCCGAGCAGTCAGAGCATCAGACACCATAGCTGGTGTCTTCAGCTCACTGCAAGTTCCAGAAACTGCTTCCAACACGTTAGTTACACAGCACCCCACAGGTCCGAAGGCTGCTAAGGTCACCTTTGCGGGCCAAACGGGGGTGGGGGGTGGGAGGTCTGTAAGTACACGATTTCACTGACTGGTCCCAATTTACAAATAGGATAAATAAAACTCAGACGGTTCACGGCACCTTCCCCAAGATCCCAGGGCTTGGGTGTTGCAAGGTTAGCCAGTCAGCCTAGCTCAAACCCCAAGCTCCCAACAGCCCTTCCACGCGTTGTGTCACTCCCCTCCCACAGGTCACAGCTACAGCCCGATCTAATCCTAGCCTCCTTATTACTAAAAGGGAAAAAAAGTCTAGACTAGTGGCTGTCTGCGGGCTTGAAGGTACACCATCTCAAGGAATTTTAACTTCAATGCAATGAATGGGCATTCTTTTCAGTGTGTGGCGCATCCCTTTTTTGGGGGGGGGGCTGCTAAGGAAAGCCCAATGTGGGCACTAGATCGCCCGCTTCACGACTTGACAAGCTGTCTTCACCCCCTCCCACACGCGCGCCCTCGCGGTCCTCCGAGCGCACGCGGGAGCCCGCACGCCCGCCCCTCTCGCCTTCCAAGACCAGCCCCGCGGCAGGTGCGGTTCCCGGGACTGCCAGCCAGTCACTCCCCCTCGAACTTCTGTCAAGCACTGCAGACCCGCCCCGATCGGGACCCCGGCTCACAACTCACCCGCCCCGGGGCTCCGGAGAGGGTCCTGGCGGCAGCGGCCCGGGCTTCGGAGCCTCGGCCGGGAGAGCCGTGGGTGGCAGCCATGGCCGGCCCAGCTCGGGCTGCGGGACCGCACGTGCGGCGGGCGCGAGGACCCCGCCGGGCCCCGCCGCCCCTTCCGGGCCCGAGGAGCCGCCTCTCGGAGAGCCTGCGGCGGCCGCGGGGCGGACCCCGGGCGGGCGACGGGCTGAGCGCTGCGGCCCGCGGGCCCCGCGGCTCGGCTGCTGCGAGAGGAGGCGAAGCCGCCGTCAGCCGAGCGCCCGGCGTGTGAAGCCTTCCGGAAGGAAGCCTGCGAGAAAACCCCGAGAGGCGGTGCTCCCTCAGGCCGACGAGCCCTTCCCCGGACACCGCCTCGGCTTCCTCAGCCCTCCGCGAAAACCCCCTCCAGAAGGGCCTTCAGGAATCCCCGGCCCCACCCGCGGTCCTGGGGTTCGACCCCCTTCACGGGGAGGCGCTTTTTTTTTTTTTCCTATTTCTGTACACAGGCAGCTCCGTGGCCACCTAGCCGGGCTGCGTCGCCTGGCAACGGCGGGGTCCTTCCTGGCTCGGCGGCGCTCGGGGCCTGCGGGAGAAAGCCCGCCTCGGAGGGCGCCGGGGGCGGCGGCGCGCGGGACGGCGGGCGCGGGGTTCGGCGCGCCGCGGCTCGCAGCTCGGCCCCTGCGGGAAGATGAGCGCGGCCGAGCAGGCCCGGCCCGCGGGGGACGGGCCCGTGCCGCCCGCGGGGGAGGAGGGCGAGGCGGGCGGGAAGGAGCCGGCGGCCCCGGGGCCCAGCGCTGCGTTCCGGCTCCTGGTGACTCGGCGGGAACCGGCCGTGAAGCTGCAGTACGCGGTGAGCGGCCTGGAGCCGCTGGCCTGGTCCGAGGACCACCGCGTGTCGGTGTCCACCGCCCGCAGCATCGCCGTGCTGGAGCTCATCTGCGACGTGCACAACCCGGGCCAGGACCTGGTGATCCACCGCACCTCGGTGCCTGCCCCCCTCAGCAGCTGTCTGCTCAAGGTGAGCCCCCAGCCCCGGGGCCCCTCCTCCTGCTGCCCTCCCTGTCCCGGCGGGAACCCCGGCCCGCGCCCCTTCCCTTCCCCTGCCGCCCCCGGCTTTCTCCGGCTCAGGAAACGGCGGGGGGGAGGGGGTCTGCGCACTTTTCAAAAAGCGCGCGCGCGTCTGGGATTCCCGGATCCCGCACTCCCCCAGGTGCGCTGGCCGGGGTGCCCGCTGCGCTCGGTCGCTGCCTCCTGGGGCCCCAGCCGCGGACCTGGCCCGCTGTCCCTCGCTCTCTTTGTCTGGGGCCGGCTCGCTTTGTTTACGGTGTCTCTGGCTGGTCCTTGGCGGCTTGGTGGAGAATGCCGCTGCTTGGCACCTTGGGCAGACCGCTGGAGGAAGACTGGATGCTGTGGTTCCTACTCGTCTTCACCAGCTACAAAGTCTCGGGGGAGAGGGGATTAGAATGGATGCTTTCACCCCGAAACAGGTAGATGCAGGTCTTAAAGCCCGAAGAAGCGTCACCGTCGGTTCAGTGCTTTCTGCTTCACAGACGACCCACGGTTGCTTTGGGGACTTGGGGCTTCCTCCCCAAGTGCTTGCATCGCCACCGTCTTTTGCACTCAGGTATTTCCTTTTGAAAGCCAGAAGCCCTGTTGCTCTGTGAGGCTTGCAGGAGGCCTGTGACGTGTGGGTATGCTCGCCTGTGCTGCTGCGTTAAGCAGTATAGGATGGGTTCTTTGGTGAGTTCTGAGTGAAGAGGCACGCCGTGCCAGGACATCCTAAGCCATGTATGAGTGCGAATCCATATGTGGACAATGGGCTTAGTTCCGAGCAGTGATTTTTCTGTACTTTGGTCAGACCTTGTCCAGTGTCAGCCACTGGTGAAGAAAGCCCCCGTGAGTTATGGATGGCACGCCCAGGGCCTGTTTCAGATGTGGCATGTGGAGTGTGTGTTCGCCTGCAAGGCAGAAGGTAGCAGTGGTCGGGATGGAGGGAGTTCTCCCAGCTACTGGTTCACTCCTTGGAAGGCTGCACCAGCTGAGCTCAGAAACTCAGACTAGGATCCAGCCGTTCCCATACGGGCCGAAGGTGTCCTGGCCCCGTGCCCAGTGCCCACCCATAGGCACACAAGATGTTACCTCAGGACCTCATGGGACCCTCTGTGATCCTCTGGAGAAAGTGTGAGCAGCTTGACTCAAGTAAATGAACAAACACCAGTGCTGCGTGATGGAGACAGGCGGGGGTACATGGAACTTCCTGTTTCCCAGCGTGCTTGTGGCACCTGGAGGAGGGAGTGTGTGTCAATAATGGGAGAGGCTGGCCAGGCAAAAGAAAGTAAAGGAGACAGCAGGGGCAGGGGGCTCCTTGCTGAGCAAGTTGTCTGCCATCCACTGCACGGGCCCTGTCTGGTTTGTCGGGGGTGGGGAGAGAGTGATCCTCCTGGGAGCAGGAATGTGGCAGCTGGGGCGCGTGCAGGTGCTGCTGGGTGGGTCATGCTGCTGCAGGACAGATGAGCTCCTGAGTTTTCTGGAGAGTCAGGGACAGTGGGTTGAGGCCAGCTGTGAACTTGGGAGCTCAATTCCCGAAGCTGGTTTCCATCTAGGAAGCCCTGCAGTACTGTTGAACATCACTTGTGAACACCTGGGGACCAGGAGTGGGCTGTCTGTGGACCAGAGGCCAGCAGGTGATTGATGACACAGGCAGGGGTAAGAGGCGGGGATTTGGTGACTGCTGCCGTGGTAGGAGGATGATCGTCCGCCTGTGACGCCAGCATCCCATGTGGATGCCGGTTCCAGTCCCGGCTGCTCCACTTCCCATCCAGCTCCCTGCTTGTGGCCTGGGAAAGCAGTCCCGGCTGCTCCAAAGCCTTGGTACCCTGACCCGTGTGTGAGACCCAGAAGAAGCTTGTTACTCCTGGCTTCAGATCGACTCAGCTCTAGGCCATTGTGGCCACTTGGGGAGTGAAACAGCACATGGAAGATCTTTCTGTCTCCTCTCTGTAGATCTGCCTTTCAAATAAAAATAAATTTTTTAAAGATAGAGATTGGGCTTTGACACAAGATAACAAGATCAGAATACCTATGAGAGGGAGATAAAGCTGCCTATCTATGCTTTGGGAGGATAAGATACATAATTTAGATGCATTATTTATTATTATTTATACATTATCTATTATTTAGATACATAATTTCTGGCTTAGGTTAATGTCTAAGTTAGTGATAGTACATGCTCAAACTAAAGATACTACATTCAAGGATCAACAGTATGATAGTAGCCTAGTGTTCTGATGAAATACCAACCCATTTTGCCACAGTCACTTAGTAAGTGGCCTTCTAATAACCGGTAAGTGGCCTACATGTTAAATGAGGGGTGTCGTGCCCTTCTGCGCTGCCGTGTGGGTGCATGCCACGCTAGTCACCTGTCAGCAGTCTTGTAGGAGACCAGGGCTGCCCAGTGAGCCGGTGCTGCGATGTCCCTGCAGCTGTTGGTGAGGGCTCCATGGAATAAATCGGTGTGCCAGTGAACCCCTGGAGTCTGTGTTGACACTGACAGCTGTGCCTATGAACAGAGGGTGGGTAAGCGTCCATTCAGGACTGCCTGGCTGGCCTTTGCTGCAACCACACAGGGACAGCCTGCAACCTGGCTCACATTTTGGTGTGTGCGCAACCCCCCCCCCCCAGGCTAAGTGTTGACCCCCTTGGAAGCCTGGGTGCTGTGCTGATTCTGTCATTTTGAGTGTGAGTCTGTCTCAGGAATCCTAAGTTTACATGTTATCAGCTACCTGCAGGTTTCTGTCCTGGGCACAGAGCTTGTGTAAAATAAAGATGAATGATAAAAATACGAAAAGCAAAAGACAGTGACTAGAAGCGCAGGGCTGGCACTGGATGCAGTGGTCAGTTAGGGGGCCGCGCAGGACACACAGCCCTCATAGAGGTCACTGGGTTTGAGTCCCAGTGCCATTTCCTGTTGAGGCTTTCTGCGAATGCCCACCGTGAGAGGCTAGGGGCGGCTCGGCCATGAGGGGCGACTCAGCCACATGGGCCCTGCCACCCACGTGCGATGCCTAGCATGACAGGTGAGGGGCGGCTCGACCACATGGGATGCTCAGACTGAGCTCCAGGCTTCTGGTTTGGCCTTGATCAAGCCCTGACTGCTGCCGGCACCCGGCCTGCGGAGCCAGTGAACGGAGAGCTCTGCCTGCCTGCCTCTCTCACTGCCTGTGAAATAAATGAAAACAAAGATTTTGTGAGGATAGAAAGAAAGGCTACAGCTTCTTCCTTCCCGTTGGGCTATATTGAGTCATATTGTTGTGTGCTGATAAATTCTACGTGTCTTTGTGTGCCTCCTTGTGTTGGGTGCCAACCGTCCAAAGCCTTAGGAAGTTACTAACTTCATCTGCTATGGCAAGAAACTTCCATCTGCTTTTGGAATCCCATGCTCGGCCCTGAAGAACATGTTGTGTAAAAGCTTGTCATGAGTCTGCACTTACTGCACAAAGTACTTCGCAATTAGCAGTGGGCAGAGGCCCGGGAGCTGGACTGGGAGAGGTGTGATCCTCATGCAGCTTGCTGTGTTAACCAGTTCTGTGCCCACAGGCTCAGACCTGTTGTTGTATTACAGATCACACCAAGAAGGGCTGCTCCCTACAGTGAGTGGGTGGGACGGAGGGACACCCGAGCTGCCCGCGTGTCATGGCAGTGTCTCTGCCGTCCCAGACCAGCGAGCCTGCTCCCTACCGTGAGTGGGACAGAGGGACGCCCGAGCTGCCCGCGTGTCACCCTGTGTTGCTGCCTTGGTGGCACAGGCCACAAGCTTAGGCTTTCCTTAGTGTACACCCCTCATCCGGTGGGCAACTTTGTATCAGAGACTTGTGTGAAATCGCATTGACACCCAATGGGAGAATCAGTGTGCAGGTGTGGCTGCCCTCTCAGGACCCCTGCATCCCATGTCAGAATGTATGGGTTCAGGCCCAGCTCCACCTTGAGTCCAGCTCCTTGCTGAGGCACACCCTCAGGCAGCAGGCTCAAGCCCTTGGGTCGCTCCTTTGCACGAGTGGTGTCCGAGTTGTGGCCCCGACGAGTGGTGTCCGAGTTGCTGGCCCCTGGGCCAGCCTGCCCCAGCCGTGGCTGTGAACAGGGGTTCTAGGGAGGAGCCTAGAATGAAGCTGCTGAGGCCTCTCTTAGTCTTGCTCTCTTGCACCTTCCATTTAAGTAAAAAGTGTCTTTTTAAGAGCGTAGCTAAAGGTTTTTTGGAGCACTTGTTAACACTTTGCCTGTTTTTCTTTGACCTTCCTTGTTTGCGTCCTGCAGCGGTGGACTGGTGCAGGGGACATGTGGTAACAGGCATGGACCACTGACTGATCGATGGTCAATAGCCAAAGCTTATTAACAGCATCAGACTTTCTAAAGAAGCTGTCAGGTGGGCATCCAGGGAGGGGGCTTGAGCCGTTTACATTTTAACAGCAAGTGACAGTCCCCCAATACACAGCCTGTTCCTCTAGCAGGTCCTTTACATAAACCTGTGAGCCAGGAGGTTTCCTCTTCATTCAGCGCCATATCAACTCTCCCGGGCCTTTCAGAGGACATTCAGCTGGTTCTGTCTCCCTCAATAGCAACGATTCCGAATGTCCTACACTTCCTAACAATAGCACGTATTGTTACTGTCTTGTAGAGATGAGGACTGAAGGCCAGAGGGTTTCTGCAGTGTGTGCAGTCACGGAGCCAGCGTCAGCCGGTGCGGCTGACACCAGAGCGCAGACCTGTTTCCTGCCCTTCACCTCCAGCAGCTCTTCACCTGCCCTAATTAAAGCTTGCTAAAGTCAAGCTGTGTTCCCTAATGCTGCTTCTAGAGTAGCCTTTGGAATGGAAATGCGCAAGATGCATTGTGAGACAAAAGAAAAGTTTGGTTGCTTCTGGTCGGAGTCCCAGCTGAGGTTCCCTGGCCACAGCACACGGTGCACACCTGAGACTTGCTGGAGCAATCACGGCCAGTACTTGACCAAGAATGCTTGTTCAAGGGACAGCTGGTCGTTAGCAGCCTGCCGGTCACTTTGGGGACAGTTGGCTGGCTTGGTGGGTCCCTTCCTGTCTACCATTCATTTTACATGCTTGCTCATGGTCTCATGCAGGGCTGGGATCAGAGTGGATGAATGGCCTTGCTGGCCTGCAGTTATCCCTGCTGTCTTACAAGCTATTCCTTGTTCATACGTGGAGGAATTTTATCCTCAGCTAGGTGTAACTGTATCTGGTTAGTAGTGGTGTCTTTTCTGGCACATCCTGATTGTGCAGGCTTGCTGTAGGACGTGGGGTTATGAGGTAATGTCTCCTGACTTCATCTGTGTGCCTGGGAGTTCAGCTTGTTTAAAGCGACGCGCGTCCCTGTGGGTGTCTGAGGCTCGCTCCCCCTTCTCATCACGGTCTGCCCTTTGGTTCTGAGGACCAGCCTCTTTGAACAAGGAGATTGACACTAGAAAGGACGAGACATGCATTTTTCTCTGTCTTTGATCATCTCTCTAGAGGCAGTGGATCAAGTGCTTCCTGCTTCCAGCGTACCAGGGGCCGTCTTCTGGACTGGCCTCTCTGCTCTTTTGTGGCTGTCACCTTCCTGGCTATTTTTTTCAGAGTTCTGGAACACTTTCTGTTGGCCACTGATCATCTCCGTCTTTAATGTTCCTTTAAAATCTTCCTGGAGAGCTCACCATTGTGAAATCGCCCCTCCCCCGCTGTATAATTATGTACTGGAAGGGAGAGGGGTGAGTGGATCATCTGGGGAGACAAGGAGAGCCTGAGAGCTGATGGGGTGCGGACAGTGGAGCTGCGAACGTCCAGGAACTGCAGGCGGGGTGTTTGATGGCAGTGGACACTGTGCGTGGCAACAGTAGATGTGGCCGTTCAGGTTGGCTCTTAGTGTAGTTTGTGAATGAGAAATGCAGATTATAAAAACTGAATCTATTGGGCCCGGCGTGGTGGCGCAAGTGGTTAAGGTCCTCGCCTTGCACGCCCGGGATCCCATATGGGCGCCAGTTCTAATCCCAGCAGCCCCGCTTCCCATCCAGCTCCCTGCCTGTGGCCTGGGAAAGCAGTCGAGGACGGCCCAAAGCTTTGGGAACCTGCACCCATGTGGGAGACCCGGAAGAGGCTCCTGGATCCTGGCTTCGGACCGGCATAGCATCGGCCGTTGAGCTCACTTGGGGAGTGAATCATCGGACGGAAGATCTTCCTCTCTGTCTCTCCTCTCTGTATATCTGCCTTTCCAATAACAATAAAATAATAAAAATAAATCTTTAAAACAAAAACAATCTATTGTTAACAGGGTGTTATAAAAATCAGATGGTATGAAAAATACATACAGATGCTTATTTTCGCACATTTTAAAAGATGCTTCATTTATTTATTTGAAAGACAACGACAAGGGGAGAGAGAGGTTAGTCTTCCATCCCCAAATAGTTGTAATGGGCGGAGCTGAGCCGTGGCAAAACCGGGGCCTGGAATCTGTGCACAGTCTCCCATGTGGGTGGCAGGAACCATCTTCTGCTGCCTTCCTAGGCATGTTAACAGGGAGCTGGAACGGCAGCAAGGCAGCAGGGGCTCAGGCAGATCCTGATCTGGGATGTGGGCGCCTCGGGGCTTAGCCCACCGCAGCACAGTGCCAGCCCCGAGTTCGTGTCTTTTTACACCTTGATTGTTTTGTGAATAAAGGCTGGTGCCATGGCATATGAGGTTAATCCTCCGCCTGCAACAAAGATATCCTGTATGGGCGCTGGTTCCAGCTCCGTGATAATGACCTGGGCGAAGCAGTGGAGGACGGCCCAAGTCCTTGAGCCCCTGTTCCCATATGGGAGACCTGGGAGAACGCCTTGGGTCCTAGCTTCGAACTGGCTCAGCTCCGACCGTTACAGCCATCTGGGAAGTAAACCAGCAGGTAGATCTCTATTTTTCCTTCTCTCTGTAATGCTGCCTTTCAAATAAAAAAAAAAATAAATAAAAGATCTGTTTAACAACAACAACAGTAAGGGCTATGTTGACTCTGCAGTCTTCATCCCTGTTGCTTCAGTCAGTTCTATGAGGATGGGAGCCGGAATGTGAGCAGTGACGACGTTTGTTCTGACCCTTCTATGGAAATGGCGTCTGGGCTGAATGCTTGGTCTCTTAAGCATATGTCGTGCCAAAGTGAACGGAAGTGATGATGTTTGCATGTGGGGCTGGATCAGCTCGTGGAGACACGTGTCTAAAGCTTTTTGTTCCTTACTTCCAGGTGGGCCCCAAAGCAGAGGTTGCCGAGTGCAAGGAGCAGTTTGCCACCTCTAAAGATCCCACTGTCAGTCAGACCTTCATGCTGGACAGAGTGTTCAACCCTGAGGGCAAGGCCCTGCCGCCCATGCGAGGCTTCAAATACACCAGCTGGTCCCCCATGGGCTGCGATGCCAATGGCAGGTGCCTCTTGGCAGCACTGACCATGGACAATCGCCTGACCATCCAGGCTAACCTCAACAGACTCCAGTGGGCGCAGCTGGCCGACCTGACGGAGATTTATGGAGAGCGACTCTATGAGACCAGCTACCGGCTCTCCAAGAACGACCCCGCCCACGGGAGCCTGGGTGATTTCGCCGAGTTCCAGAGGAGACACAGCATGCAGACTCCGGTGAGGATGGAGTGGTCGGGCATCTGCACCACCCAGCAGGTCAAGCACAACAACGAGTGCCGAGACGTGGGCAGCGTGCTCCTGGCCGTCCTCTTTGAAAACGGCAACATTGCCGTGTGGCAGTTTCAGCTGCCCTTTGTCGGGAAGGAGTCCATCTCATCGTGTAACACCATCGAGTCCGGCATCAACTCTCCCAGCGTTTTGTTTTGGTGGGAATATGAGCACAACAATCGCAAAATGAGTGGCCTTATCGTGGGCAGTGCTTTCGGACCTGTGAAGATCCTCCCCGTCAACCTGAAAGCAGTCAAAGGCTACTTCACGCTAAGGCAGCCCGTGGTCTTGTGGAAGGAGACGGACCAGCTGCCTGTGCACAGCATCAAGTGTGTGCCGCTCTACCACCCTTACCAGAAGTGTAGCTGCAGCTTGGTCGTGGCCGCCAGGGGCTCCTACGTGTTCTGGTGTCTCCTGCTCATCTCCAAGGCAGGTCTCAACGTGCACAACTCGCACGTCACAGGCCTGCACTCGCTGCCCATCGTGTCCATGGCGGCCGACAGGCAGAACGGTACCGTGTACACCTGCTCGAGTGACGGGAAGGTGCGCCAGCTGATCCCCATCTTCACGGACGTGGCGCTGAAGTTCGAACACCAGCTCATCAAGCTCTCCGACGTGTTTGGCTCGGTGAGGACTCACGGGATCGCGGTGAGCCCCTGCGGCGCGTACCTGGCCATCATTACGACGGAGGGCATGGTCAACGGGCTCCACCCTGTGAACAAGAACTACCAGGTCCAGTTCGTCGCTCTCAAGACCTTCGAAGAGGCAGCGGCTCAGCTCCTGGAGTCTTCGGTTCAGAATCTCTTCAAGCAGGTGGATTTAATTGACCTCGTGCGCTGGAAGATCTTAAAAGACAAGCATATCCCTCCGTTCCTGCAGGAGGCTTTGGAAAAAAAGATTGAAAGCAGTGGGGTCACCTACTTCTGGCGCTTCAAGCTTTTCCTCCTGAGGATTTTGTATCAGTCAATGCAGAAAACACCTTCGGAAGCGTTATGGAAACCCACCCATGAGGACTCAAAAATCCTGCTGGTTGACTCCCCTGCCGAGGAGGAGCAGCAGGAAGAAGGCGCTTCTTCCAAGCAGGCGCTCAGGCTGGGCCTGCAGGAGCGAAGCCGAGAAGGTGACGCCGAGGAGGCTGCCGACGACTCGCTCCTCCCCGCTGGGGAGGTTGGAGGCCGTGAGCCCATGGAAGAGAAACTTCTGGAAATCCAAGGGAAAATCGAAGCTGTGGAGATGCACCTGACCCGGGAGCACATGAAGCGGGTCCTGGGGGAGGTGTACCTGCACACCTGGATCACGGAGAACACCAGCATCCCCACGCGGGGCCTCTGCAACTTCCTCATGTCCGCCGAGGAGTGCGACGACAGGACGGCCCGGGTAGGTGCGGCCGGGCAGAGCAGTCACCTCCCCGAGTTGCTAAATGAAACTTGGACTCAGGCGTTTTTTTAGGTAGTTGATAGGTATGGGTGCCGGGGAGTGAAGAGGACACAGGGACGATTGCAGAGGGCACGCGCATAGCACTCAGCAGCCACATCAGGTCCTTCTCGATGCGACCTTGACTTGCAAGGTGAGATTCCTGGGCCGTGGGTGAGCCCGGGGAGGTGCGTGGGCACGGCTGTCACGGTCGGCCTCCCTGCCCTTCCTGGTCATAGGTAGGTTAGCAGGGGGTATATTGTTTGAAACACAGTGGGACAGAGAGGGCAGGGGTTGGGAAGAGAAGGAGCAGTGGATCTCCTGTCCCCTGGTTTATTCCCCAGATGGGTGCTGCAGCTAGAGCCATGTGCTGCTGTCTTCCTGGGCTCATTGGCAGGGAGCCAGAGGGGAAGTGGAGTACCTGGGACTCATTTGGCCCCCTGATAGGGGATGCCTGTGTTGCAAGCTGCAGTTTAGCCCGCTGCACCATGCTGGTCCTGCTCATGTCTCATTTTTACAGAGATGTGCAGTCTTTAAGTTGTAGGAATTCCAAAGGGAATTGCCCAGAATCCGAGCTTTTAATGAGTGTGGGCTCCAGGCTTGGAACTGCACGGAATCCGAGCTTCCTCACGACACACGGGCTCCGGGCTCGGGAGTCCTACGCATTGTACTTGTTTTTGCTTTAAGGCAGAGTGGCAGAGATTGACCTTCCCTCTGCTGGGTCACTCCCCAAATGGCTGCAACAGCCAGACCTGAGCTAGGCTGCGTCGGGAGCTTGGAACTCCATCTGTGTTTCCCACATGGGCGCAGGGGCCAAGGACCAGGGCCGTCTTCCACTGCTCTCCCAGGTGCATCAGCAAGGAGCTGGATTGGAAGTGGAGCAGCTGGGACTCAAACCTGCATTCATATGGGCTACAGCACTGCAGGAGGCAGCTTGACTGGCTACCCCGCAGCACGGTCACCGTACTCGGTGTGCCCTGACAGGTGCGCTGTATGGTATCATTCTGAATTCTGATGTCACACAGACTTCTTGATCAGGGACTCATTCTCCACAACTGTCAGCCGCCAAAGTCCTGGGCAACGTGTGTTCCAGGAAATGTACTGCATGCTAAAACACTCAGTCATGTAAGTCGTTTTCTTATTCAGAAAATTAATCCATGCTGTGTTTGCCTCAAGTCTTGTTTAAGATGTGGGATTGTTCTTATCCCAAATGAATGAGAAGTCATTCAAGGATCGCTTGTTATATTTTGTGCAGGGATCTTCAGAATTGTTAGAATGTATTGTTCAGGTAAAAGGTTAGAAACTGTTTCCAATATTCTAAAAAATCTTAAAGATATTATTTTGTTTTTCAGCATTCTAGGACCTCATTAAGGTTGTTTTAAGAATCAATAGGGGGCCCGGCACGGTGGCGCAAGTGGTTAAAGGTCCTCGCCTTGCACGCCCGGGATCCCATATCCGCGCCGGTTCTAATCCCGGCAGCCCCGCTTCCCTTCCAGCTCCCTGCCTGTGGCCCGGGAAAGCAGTCGAGGACGGCCCAAAGCTTTGGGACCCTGCACCCGCGTGGGAGACCCGGAAGAGGCTCCTGGCTTCGGATCGGCATAGTATCGGCCCGTTGCGCTCACTTGGGGAGTGAATCATTGGACGGAAGATCTTCCTCTCTGTCTCTCCTCTCTGTATATCCGCCTTTCCAATGAAAAAGTAATAAAAATAAATCTTTTAAAAAAAAAAAAAGATGTGGAATCCCCAACACCCAGAAAAAAAAAAAAAGAATCAATAGGATATGGGCCAGGCATTGTAGCCTGATGGCCAAAGTCTTTGCCTTGCACATACTGGGATCCCATATGGGCACCTGTTTTAATCCTGATAGCTCCACTTCCCATCCAGCTCCTTGCTTGTGGCCTGGGAAAGCAGTCGAGGACGGCCCAAAGCGTTGGGACCCTGCATCCAAGTAGGAGACCTGGAAGAAGCCCCTGGCTCCTGGCTTCAGATTGGTGCAGCTCTGGCTGTTGCGGCCACTTGGGGAGTGAATCAGTGGGCGGAAGATCTTCCTCTCTGTCTTTCCTCCTGTCTGTATATCTAACTTTCCAATAAAATAATAAACTAAATCAGTAGGATGGGGCCCAGTGTCATGGCCTGTTGACCAAATCCTCACCGTGTATGTACTGAGATCCCATATGAGCTCTGGTTTGCATCCTGGCTGCCCCACTTCCCATCCAGCTCCCTGCCTGTGGCCTGGGAAAGCAGTGAAGGACAGCCCAGAGCCCTGGGACCCTGTACCCATGGAGGTGACCTGGAGGAAGCTCCTGGCTTTGGACCAGCTCAGCTCCGGCCATTGAGGCCACCTGGAGCATGAACCAGTGGACAAATCTTTGTTTCTCCATTCTGTAAATCTGCCTTTCCAATAAAAATAAATAAATCTTTTTTTTTTTTTTTAAAGTCAGTAGGATATTAACAAAAAGCATTCCAGAAAATAGTGAAAGTTTTGTGTGTATGGAATTTAAGAATTGTTTTTTATCTGAGAGGCAAGATTATGGAGAGAAGGAAAGACAGAGAGAGTTTCTAGTCCGTGAGTTCACTTCCCAAATGGCTGCAACAGGTGGAGTGTGGTCAGTCCAAAGCCAGGGGCCTGGAGCTTCTTCAGGTCGCCCACATGGGTGCAGGGTCCCAAGGACTTGAGCCGTCTGCTGCTTTCCCAGCACACATGCAGGAAGCTGGATGGAAAGTGGACGGGCTGGGATTCAAACTGGCACCCCTTGCGATGCTGGTGTCCCAGGTGGTGGATTAACGTGCTATGTCACGGCATGGAGAGCTGCGTCTAACATGGCCTCGTGGCTCCAGACGGCCAGGTGAAATAATGGGAGGGCTGTACCCAGGGCACCCAACACCAGCCACCCAGGGCACCCAAAGCCTGCCACCCAGGGCACCCAAGGCCTGCCACAGCAGTTGATGGTGGGTTAAGGACAGTGCATCTCCTGTTTAAAAATTCAGCAAGTGTGTAAAACATTACCTAGGGTGTGGGGTCAGCAGTAGTTAGACTGTTCCTCAGATACTGTCCAGTGTGGTCAGGTAGTGTATGTCCTAAGCCTGTGTCCACTGTCTCATCCCTAGAGCATTCTTGGAAATGTTTGTCTTGATTGCCAGATTATAAAATGTTAATACTACAGATTTGTGTCTTTATACGTACTATTTGTATGTCTGTGCTTTAGAAGATGAAGAATTTGTCCTGTTAAGAGCCAGTATTTTGCCCTTAGCAGAAACATCACCCCTTGGCAGTGGGAACCAGGCTGCCCAGCTGGACTAGCATGGGCAAGGCTGCTGAGGACAAGCAGGGACAGTCCTGCCTTCTGGGAGCTGAGAGTGTCCCGGCTGGGGACAGTGAGTGGGCACTGTGCCATCCGGAAAGAGGGGCTAGAGAGCTGTCCTGCTGAAAGGAAGCCTGAGTCAGTGTTCTGAGAAGGCTGCTGTGTCTGAAAGGCAGAGTTAGGGAGTGGAGGGCTGGAGCAGAGGAGAGGCAGTGAGAGAGCGCATGCGTGTGCTTGCGTCCACTGCTTCACTCCCTCCGTGGTCATGATAGCTGGACCAGTTAGTGAAAGCCAGAAGCCAGAAGTTCCATTGAGGCCTCCCGCGTGGTGGCAGGGCCTTAGCAGGGCCTTAGCAGTGCCTCAGCACGGACTGGATTGGAAGTGGAGCATCTGGGATGTCAGCTGCTCGTGGCATGCTAGTGTTGCAAATGGTAGTTTAACGGGCTATACCACAGTGGCAGCCCTGAATTAGAGGTTTAATTTGTTTGTTTTTACAAAAAAAAAATCTTTTTATTTGAAAGGCAGAATTACAAAGAGAGGAGGAGAGACAGAGGTCTTCCATCCGTTGGTTCCCTCCCCCTAAATGGCCACAGTGACCAGAGCTGGGCTGGTCAGCAGCCAGGAGCTTCAAGGTCTCCCGTGTGGGTGCAGAGGCCCAAGCGTTTGGACCATCCTCTGCTGCTTTCATGTTAACAGGGAGCTGGATTACAAGTGCAGGAGCCGGGGTCTGAGCCGGCAGCCGTATGGGAGGGATGTGATCCTAAGTGCAGGAGCCGGGGTCTGAGCCGGCAGCCATATGGGAGGGATGTGATCCTAAGTGCAGGAGCCGGGGTCTGAGCCGGCAGCCGTATGGGAGGGATGTGATCCTAAGTGCAGGAGCCGGGGTCTGAGCCGGCAGCCATATGGGAGGGATGTGATCCTAAGTGCAGGAGCCGGGGCCTGAGCCGGCAGCCATATGGGAGGGATGTGATCCTAAGTGCAGGAGCCGGGGTCTGAGCCGGCAGCCGTATGGGAGGGATGTGATCCTAAGTGCAGGAGCCGGGGTCTGAGCCGGCAGCCGTATGGGAGGGATGTGATCCTAAGTGCAGGAGCCGGGGTCTGAGCCGGCAGCCGTATGGGAGGGATGTGATCCTAAGTGCAGGAGCCGGGGTCTGAGCCGGCAGCCATATGGGAGGGATGTGATCCTAAGTGCAGGAGCCGGGGCCTGAGCCGGCAGCCATATGGGAGGGATGTGATCCTAAGTGCAGGAGCCGGGGTCTGAGCCGGCAGCCGTATGGGAGGGATGTGATCCTAAGTGCAGGAGCCGGGGCCTGAGCCGGCAGCCGTATGGGAGGGATGTGATCCTAAGTGCAGGAGCCGGGGTCTGAGCCGGCAGCCATATGGGAGGGATGTGATCCTAAGTGCAGGAGCCGGGGCCTGAGCCGGCAGCCATATGGGAGGGATGTGATCCTAAGTGCAGGAGCCGGGGTCTGAGCCGGCAGCCATATGGGAGGGATGTGATCCTAAGTGCAGGAGCCGGGGTCTGAGCCGGCAGCCATATGGGAGGGATGTGATCCTAAGTGCAGGAGCCGGGGCCTGAGCCGGCAGCCGTATGGGAGGGATGTGATCCTAAGTGCAGGAGCCGGGGCCTGAGCCGGCAGCCGTATGAGAGGGTGCTGGCTCTGCAGGCAGAAGCTTTGACCTACTACACCTTGGCACCACATCCTGGATTTAGAATTTTTTTGATTTGTTTATTTTTATTGCAAAGTCAGATATACAGAGAAGAGGAGAGACAGGAAGATCTTCCATCCAAGGATTTACTCCCCAAGTAACCACAACGGCCGGTGCTGCGCCAATCTGAAGCCAGGAGCCAGGATCCTCCTCTGGGTCTCCCCTGTGGGTGCAGGGTCCCAAGACTTTGGCTCCTCCTCAACTTCTTTCCCAGGCCACCAGCAGGGAGCTGGATGGGAAGCAGGGCCGCCAGGATTAGAACCAGCACCCATATGGGATCCTGTCACATTCAAGGTGAGGGCTTTAGCTGCTAGGCCACCTCTCCAGAGCCCAAATTTAGAATTCTTAAGGTTGAAAAACCAAAAAGACTAAGTTTGAGGGAATTGGAACTTGCACATTCTATGTAGAAGTGATATAGCTGGTTTATCAACTTCTGAGCCGTTAAGACATCCCTCATAACTTGAGTAAGAACTTTAGTGAGTTAAACCCAGTCCTGTGGGTTCTCCCACAGGAGGTTAAGCATACGTGGATTTAAAACTTGAAGGACACCTGCTGCTCCCTGGAAAGGGTTTTGGTGCTTCCCAGTAAAGTGCCCAGTGAAGTTTTTTTCAACAAGTTCATGAAGTAGATTTGTGTTTTCCAGACTTATAGTTTTAAAGGTAATCTTAATCAAGCAGAGCAAAAGATAATGCAAGCGGGGACAAGGCCTAGATCCTGCGCCATCCCGTCTCTCCTGCGTGGTGCTCCATGGTGCGCCATCCCGTCTCTCCTGCGTGGTGCTCCATGGTGGGTCCCAGGCCCTTGCGACGGTCAGCGCTCTTGGGAGTGGCGAGACGGGCTGGACTGGGGCTGGACAGAAGGCAACTGTTGACTTTGTAATAGCTGGACAAACTTGGTAGCATCCCGTGTAGTATCTGCCTATAGAGATTGTCTCTCTTGTAAAGCTGAAGATACAATGTTGTTCGGCTGATAGCTAACCACTTTGTCTTCCGTTAGTACCCTGAAGTTCATTTCAAAAGCAGTGAACGTGGACAGCTAAAAAGATGAGGGTTCTCAAGTGGTCCTGCATCCGGTCACCCTGGGGTCACGGAGTGGGCTGCTGTGGTCAGCAGCTGGCAGGCAGCCCCCCTGCCTCCTGCACTGCACTGTGTGGTTTCCTGCCAGTGGGCTTGCACTCACGTGGCCCCTGCCGCCTGCTCTTTCTTCCCAGGTCCTGATCGGACACATCTCCAAGAAGATGAACAAGCAGACCTTCCCTGAGCACTGCAGCCTGTGCAAGGAGATCCTGCCGTTCACAGACCGCAAGCAGGCCGTCTGCTCCAACGGCCACATCTGGCTGCGGTAAGCGCTGCCCGGAGCCCGCCTGGCTCATGCTGGCTTCTGTACAGTGTCAGCAGCTAGAAAGCATTTCCCGGGAGCTAGCAGCTTCTAGGCCTCCCATGTGGGGGCAGGGGCCCAAGTGCTTGGACCCTTCCAGGCAATCAGCAGGGCACTGGATCCAAAGTAGAGCAGCCAGGACTGATGCCCTGGTCGGTCCGCCTGCTGCTGGAAGCCCTGTGGCACCTGCCCTCCAGGGCTTGGGGCTGCCTTGTTCTCGCTGGCCCTTGCCTCCTTGTGTCCGGTTTTCTCTGGGTCTGTCCAGCTGTCCCTGGTGCTGATGCTGGCGTGTCACTGGTACACTGGTGACTTCAGTGCAGAGCTTGGGCCTGTACCTCTCCCACCAAGGCCAGGCGTCGGCACCCGACAGCATTTTGGATTGGAATCCAGCTCGCACCGCTGCCTTTGCCTGGGTTCTGTTCAGCTTTCAGCTGTTCTTCCTGCCTGCCCCCTCAAGTATGTACTTGGTGTTGTCAGGACTGTGTTCTTGTTAAAACTATGCCACTGGGCCTGGCACAGTAACCTAGTGGCTAAAGCCCTAGCCTTGCATCCACTGGGATCCCGTACAGGTGCTGGTTCATATCCCACTGCTCCACTTCCCACTCAGCTCCCTGCTATGGCCTGGGAAAGCAGAGGAGGACGGCCCAAAGCCTTGGGACCCTGCACCCACGGGGGAGACCTGGAAGAGGCTCCTGGCCCTTAGCTCTGGATCAGCTCAGTTCTGGCTGTTTAGGCTGTTTGGGGAGTAAACTAGTGGATGGAAGATCTTTCTTCCTTTCCTTTTGCCTAAATCTGTCTTTCCAATAAAAGTAAAGTAAATTAAAAAAAAAAAAAGACCCTGTGACTTATGTGTTCCAAACCCAGTAGCCGCCTGTTTCTTTCTTTCTTTTTTTTAAAAAAGATTTTATTTTATTTTTATTGGAAAGGCAGATATACAGAGAGGAGAGACAGAGAAGAAGATCTTCCATCCAATGATTCACTCCCCAAGTGACCTCAACAGCCGTAGCTGAGCCGATCCAAAGCCAGGAGCTTCTTCTGGGTCTCCCACTTGGGTGCAGGGTCCCAAGGCTTTGGGCCGTCCTCGACTGCTTTCCCAGGCCACAGGCAGGGAGCTGGAAAGGAAGCGGGGCTGCCGGGATTAGAACCGGCGCCCATATGGGATCCCGGGCGTGCAAGGCGAGGACCTTAACCACTGCGCCACCGTGCCAGGCCCACTGCCTATTTCTGAGGAGGCCACACCAGAGCCTCTTGGCGGCCAGTGCAACTGCCCTGCACAACCAGGGCACAGCCTGCACCGTTTGCTTGTCCTCTCACCACACCCCATCTCTGTGGCCTCACCTCCTTCCAGGTGCAGAGGCCCAGCTCTGCTCAGGCATGGGAGGTGTGCGTCTAAATCTAGGCCGCTTGCCCAGCGTCCATGCGGCCTCCTCGTGGCTGCCTGAGCTCGGGAGCCCCTTCCTCCCGGTGCCTGGCCGGCTTGTCTCTGAGCTGTTCCTGAACGTGTAGTTGTCTCTTCCTTCCCTGAGGACAGGCTGGGTTTCCAGCGGAGCTCTTTCTGGAGTAACAGACACTAGGCACTGGGCGCAGAGCCTGCTGCTCGCAGAAATGGAGCTGTGCTGTGTGTGAGAGCACTGCACGAGTCTGGGGCGAGCTCGCACGGACGCCGTTTGCACAGGGCAGCTCCCTCATGCCAGCAGTGCGCACGCAGTCCTACATTAGTGCCAGGACGCTGCTCTTACTCTGCTTAGTCATCTGCAAGGCCGAGTTAGGGAGAGCAGTCTGGTCCCTGCTGCTCCACGGCTGGGGCCAGCCTCGAACCGGCGCTCCGTGGGGGCCCTGCTTCCCGAGTGTCAGCGTGCCGCTGCCCTTGGCACGGTCACGTGGTTGATGTGCACCTGTACACTGCCCCACCTTGCCGCCCTCCCGCGTGGGTGGACACGGGCCTCTGCCCCCTCACCGTCTCTGCTCTCCTCGCCGCCCTCCCGCGTGGGTGGACACGGGCCTCTGCCTCCTCACCGTCTCTGCTCTCCTTGCAGGTGCTTCCTAACCTACCAGTCCTGCCAGAGTCTGATCTACCGAAGGTGTTTGCTTCACGACAGCATTGCCCGGCACCCAGCTCCAGAAGGTGAATGCTCTCCCGGCCTGGGCAGGGGTGGAGCAGTGGGCAGGCTGTCCCCTGATGCCTGGGGGCCCGCCCGCCCAGTTACCCTTGCGGTGTGAGTTGCACGTGGTCATGGGACTCTGGCATGGTAAGGGCTGCACTGTGTCCATGGTCTGTCACTGCAGACGCGTGACTTGTTCTGGGTGGTCAGCTTGCAGAGGCCAGACTGAAACCCCGCCGCTGGCGTGCGCGAAGGCAGCCTGGGGCTCGTGCTTGGTGTCTTCAACTAGCTGTGTGGGCTGCTTCTACTCGGTTGTGTGCATCTCAGGAAATGACAGGCTGGCAAGGAGATCTTAGCTGCAGGCAGGCCGTCAGCGAGCTGACACCCCACGCGTGTCAGATGGCTGCACGAGAGACAAACAGCCATGCATCTGAGCGAGTTTTCAGTTCTCAATAAAACAATAATATTGCTGTTTTTTGTTTTTAGACCGCTAATTCTCTGTGGTATTGTCAGCATGTGTCTTATTACACTAGAATTAGACACAGAATTAAAGAGAATCTAAGAAATTCCCCTCACCAGCTTCAGAATTGATGAGGCCGTAGCCCTCCGTGTTCTGTGAGCCCCGCCCGCTGGGCTGCTCGGACACATCCTAGGCGGTCAGTGCAATTGAGAATTGTCGGTGGGCAGGGAGTCTGGGAGGGTTGAAGCTCGGCTGGAATGGCAGTGGCCTTGACTTGGAGGTGTCCCTTGGCAGCTTTGGGAGGGTGGCGCCTGAGCGTGGCTCTATCCCTGAGGCGGGGGCAGGGATTAACCCAGGGCTGCCGCGTTGTTCTCCCTCCCAGGCAAAGCAATTCTGAAAAAATAGAGGGCGTTTAATAATCTCTGAATACAGCTAGTCTCTTTTTAAGGTTTTGCTTCTTGGAGAGAGAGTGACAAGTCTGTCCACTGGTCACCTGCCCAGATAAAGGTTGCAGGAGCCAGGCCAGAGTCAGGGGCCGCTCCATCAGGCCTTCTTCCCCTCTGCCCCCGAGCGCTGGCAGGGAGCCGGATGGGAAGCGGAACCGCTAAGACTTGAACCCTTGGTCCTGTGTGGAATGTGGGCAGGCGGTGGTGACGTGAGACGCTGTGCCTCGGCCACCTCAGGCCTCTCTTTACATAACAGTTTTATGAAATGTCTATTCGTTGCCCTTCTTTATGTGTTATTGCACATTTGTATTGGGAACCGTACGCTGAGTTCCCCCGCCTGTGGAATAGTGGGAATAAAGCCCCTGCCCGTCCCAGCTGCTGGTGTGACACACTCCTGTCTTCCCCTGCAGATCCTGACTGGATCAAGAGGCTGCTGCAGAGCCCCTGCCCCTTCTGTGACTCGCCTGTCTTCTGAGCGCCCACGCTGGGCGGGTGCGATAGAAGATGCCCTCTACCCGGGCTGCCTGGTCCTGACGCAGACAGGGCGCCGCTCGATGGACGGGATCGCCGGAAGCTTGTTTGTGCACGCGCGCTTCCTCCCCGGGGCTCACGCCGTCGTCCGCAGCGACTGCGTGCAGAGGGCGCTGGCCGTGCAGGGCTGAGCCTCAGCCCTCAGCTCCGGGCCTGGGGAACACGAGGCTTCCGGTGTCTGGACTGAAGCACTTGGAACAAAATGAGTGGCCTGTTATTTCTAGGCACAGAATAATCAGTGCTGGAGAGTTGGGAAGAGTCTTGCTGAGCCTGGACATGCATTGCAGCTCTGGAGAGCATGTGAGCGCCACATGCCAGCGGGCGTTGCAGTGTCTCGTGCAGACTGCCGTCCTGCTCCGACGAGCGGCTCTCACCTCCTGTGCTTTATGCCCGTGGGGAACATTTTCTAGAAATTCTTATTTTTGCGCAGTTGCAGCCAAGACTGTAGTTGATCCAGTGTGTCCGTGGTCAGGGGCAGTTTTAAGTTAAACGATTGTGACTCGTTCATTCCCTGTCGTCAGATTGCCTGGCCCGGCTGCTTCCTGCATGTACGGATGTCAAGTACTCGAGTCTGCCCACGTCACAGCCTGCCTCCCACTGAACTGTGGTACCCTGGGCGAGATACTTATACACAGAGGAGAAAATTTTTTCCTTTTTTAGAAATAAATTAAAAATCTTCAGTTTTCCTAGCTTTCATATTTCCAGACGTTGGATTTTCTAGCCCCAGCCGGAGTGTGATGACTCAGTGGAGGGCCCGCACTCTGGTGTGCTGCCTGGGGCTGCCCTCTCCCCGCGGGCCCTGGCATGGGGGTCCAGAGCTCTTCCTGGACTTCTAAGACGAAACGTCAGACATCCCACTCAAGGATTCGCTCAGTCGGAAGTGAGAAAGCTAGGATGGTGGTGATGTGGCTTCCCAGGCAACGCCCTGAGGACCGGTGCTGCGCTGCAGGCCTCGGGCACACGTCACACAGAGGCAAGTGTGCAAGCCCTCACCTCCTTGTGCTGCTGCTTCGCCTGCACTCTGCCACTCCTGCCTTGGTTCCGAGGCCCGAGTTGGCGCAGTTTGTCCGCACTGGTAGAGACACGCATGCTGTGCACACTGGGTGCCCTGGAGACCAACCCCGCGAGGCGTGTCCAGATGACCGGCTTTTTGCTATCTGATTGAAGGCCCTGCTGAATCACTTACTACCACCACGAGGGAGCTGCTGGATGATCGTGCTGGTTTTGCTGGGAGGAGACAGAGTGCCTCAGTGGTCAGGCCTGGGTGGCTTTCTTCAGGCCAGGCTTCTGCACACCTTGTTGGTAGGCCTTCCCCGACCTTCTCCCCCAACTCAGGGTAATGAGGAGACTTGGGGTTCCGCACAGCAGCTCCAGCAGTGGCCAGGGTCAGCACGCACGGTGATGGGCCGTGATAGGCCGGGTGGCAGCAGTGCCCAGGGTCAGCACGCACGGTGATGGGCCGTGATAGGCCGGGTGGCAGCAGTGCCCAGGGTCAGCACGCACGGTGATGGGCCGTGATAGGCCGGGTGGCAGCAGTGCCCAGGGTCAGCACGCACGGTGATGGGCCGTGATAGGCTGGGTGGCAGCAGCAGTCTTCTGGCAGCCTTCCTACATGAGCCTGGTCTGGCGGGCTCCGGCTGCAACCAGGACACGTGGCATAGCGGGGGTGCTGGTACCCGCATGTGGGTAATGTCTTCCCTGCCTGGGGTGAATTTGTTCCTGTTATTGCAGATAAGAAATGGAGAGCTTGTTATGTTGATGCTCTTGCTGGAACCCTCCACTGTCCAGCCCACAGACATCAGGCACTCCATCCCTGCTCTTAGAGCCACCAAACTCCCAATTATTTCCCCTTGTCAGAAGTTATTAGAAGTATGCAGGCAGCGCTGGCTGAGAGTGACATCTCCCGGCTTCTCCCAAACAGCCACGGAGGATGTTAATGCCGTAGCATGTGGGTCAGACCTACTCGCGAGCATGACAGGTTAATTCGGTTAAAAGAGTGTTAAGGGTTCATGATTAAATATTAAAGTATGCGCTGCTGTGATTATAATGGTATTGAATGAGACACACTGCAGAGTGGGGCTTCCTGCAGCTTCTAAGGGGAACGCGGGGTGGCCTTAGGGGCGCCACCGGCTGCCAGGGAGCTCTGCTGGCCTCTGAACCCACGGGGACGTATTTGAGAATGGATCCAATTTTCTGAAGTGTTGCTGAGTTTCCCTTCCTTAAGGGTCAACGAGTTACTAACGTTCCTGCTGACAGTGCTACAGCAGGCAGTGGCTTGGCCCTGGCCACGGCTTCGAACCAGCGTTTCCCTGTCAGCTGCCAAATCACTTGGTTGAGCCTCAGAGTACAGGCTGCCAGATCGTAGCTGCATCTGACCCCCGAGCCAGGACAGTTCATCACGTTGCCACGGTGCCACATGAGGCAAAGCTTCATGCACGTTGTTGAAGGTTAGCAGGAGCCAGAGTGGGCACTTCCCCTGGCACCTGTGTCCATTGTCCAAGGCCTCAGTTCACCTCCTGGCTCCGGCTTCCTGCCGTGTGAGAGGCAGTGGTGATGGCCAAGCGGCGGGGACCTGGCCTGGGAGTAAGCCAGGAGAGACTGGGCTCCGCCCTGCACTCAGTACTGGCTTTAAGAATGCATAGTAAGAGCACAGGCAGTGCACACCTTCCCCCCCAGCCCTCCCCAACCGCTGTGAGTCCAGTGGCGCCAAGTGAATCCGCGAGACCAGGGCATGGCTCCGAGCCCCGCCTTTCCGCCTGGCTCTCAGAGGCCTCGAATGGAGTTGCCAGGAATGAATGGTTGTTACGGTGACTGTTACTGGAGGTCAGGGCCCTCCTAGTGACTCAACTGTGAACTGTGCCTTCTTGGGGCTTCCTGTCTGCTTCCCCTTTGCAAGCTGTCAAACCCCAGGCCAGAGCGTGGACCAAAGAAGGCTGGATGGCCTCTTGCTCGCTGCCATGGCTGTCTGGTGTGGCCCCTGGGACACAGCTCCTCCCAGGCCTGGGGCCCACAGGGTCTCGGCGGGGATGTGGCCTTCGTCCCACACGCTTGGGTGCTCTGATGACGTGCATCACAGCTGTCACAGGGACATCCTGGGAAAAAGTGGACACTTCTCCTCAGTCCCTCTGTGCAAGCAGACAGGCTGGCTTCTCTTGGTTTCCTTGGTGTTCTAGCTCTGGGGAGGGCCTGAGCGTGACGTGCAGTGTGGCCGGCGGGGTTATTCAGAACAGTGTCCGGTGGCATCCTGGTCCCGACCAAGGAAAGCTGGATGTGGCTGTCTAGTTCTAGGGTTGAAAGTTGTGCCTGAGAACTGGCCCAATGGGCAAGGTAAGAGGTGGTGCTGGCCACCTCCCCTGCGCGCTGGTCCCCGCTCGGCCCACCCACAGCGGGGCAGACGGAGGTCCAGGCCTCCTCAGGGTCATGTCCTGAGACCTGGGCTCCGATGTGTGCTTTGGTGGGCGACAGGAAGGCGGCACGGAGCACAGGTGTGTTACTGGAAAGCCGGCCTGCGCCGTGTGTCCTGACGCCTCTCACCTTCACCCTGGCCTGTGCTTGGCTTGGGTTACGTGTTTCTTGCCACCTCTTTTTGTTTGTTTTTAAATGAAAAGGTTGCGAGATTTTGTTTTTAAAGCCTTAGCATCTAATTAAGTGGTATGTCTTAGACTTTCCGTGTTTAAATAAAAAAACTTTCAAGAATCACACCATGTTGTGCTTGAAAGATCTTGTGGTCCAGCAATAGCTGCTGCTTTTCCTGCCGGTGTGTGTGCGTGGGCACAGGCAGTGGTCGTTGCCGGACCGTGAGTCCCTGGGGCAGGGGGCACTACATCCTGCACACCTGAGCAGGTGCTTGCTACCCCATGGGGTGACTTCTGGCCCCCTTAGGAGGTACAGGGGGCCTCACTTTCCCAGTATGTCCCCCACTAGGCCACACACACTGACCAGGGATGGAGCTCTGCTCACAGCATGAGTTGAGACCACACAGGGCACATTGTTGGCAGTCTGGCCCTTCTGTTCCCACAGATGACATGCCCGCCCTGAGCCCTGACCTTGTGTCAGAGCTGAGGTGTCTGGGAGCAGCAGAGAGGGGGAGGTTGCCAAGGGAGTGAGAGGAGAGGATGGGCATGAGTGGGGACCCTGCAGTGTGGGGGCGTCTCACTTTAGCCTATGCTGTCCAAGAGGGCAGCAGGTGCCGTCTCCAGGCCAGGGCACTGCTTGGCCGAGTGTCTGTGATGGGAGCCCGCTGGCTGCTCTTCCTGTTCCGGATCCCTCCCATTGCCGTGAGGCTGCTACCTGGGAGTCCCACACGGTTGAATACACAGTGCTGTACGTGGTGGCCGTTTTGTAAATGTGAAGTCACCTCAGATGCGTTGTGTTTTGTATGCAGAGCCACTAGTATTGTTATTTTGGCCACTTTTTTATTCAAAATAAATAAATAACAGAAGTGTTTGTATGCTCGTCTGTCTTTGGGGTCCCCTTGGTTCAAGCAGGGCTCAGCAGCTGCCTGAGGTGCAGGCAAGGCCAACAGCCGGGAGAGAGCCAGTGGCCCTGCAGACACCCCAGCAGCCGCCCAGTCAGCTCCCCTGGCCTTTTCAAAACAGCCATGAAGGGGACCGGTATGGTTCTGTTGGGCTGCATGTCACATGGGACCAGGGGGCTTCAGAACGTGGGAAGCCACAAGCAGGGAGCTGGACAGGAAGCAGAGCACTCAGGATATGAAACAGTGCCCATATGGGATCCTGGTGCATGCAAGGCAAGGACTTCAGCCACTAGGCTGCCTCGCCAGGCCTGTCCTCATTGTTTTTAAGAATTTGTTGGGGGGGGGGGGGTTGAAGAGCGCCATCTGTGGGTTCACCACAATCAAGGCTGAGCCAGGAGTCTGGAACTCCACTCGGGTGTCCTACAAGGCTGCAAGGGGCAGCACATGGGTCTCCTGCTACCTTCCTAGGGACATTAGCAGGAAGCTGGCTGGGAAGTGGAGCAGCCAGAACAGCAGGGTCTGGGGGTCTAGAACTCTAACAGCAGAGTGGGAGGGGGGGGGGGTGGCTGTTTAATCTCTGGATGTTCTCATCTGTTTCTGGTACCCAGAGCTGACCCTTGAGGCCCAGCTTGCCCGTGTGTGGCCGTGGTGCAGGGCCTGCCTGTCCATCATCTGCCACCGCCCAAGAGAACATTTGCCTTCCTGCCAGCATGAGCACCTGGCTTCTGCTGGCACAGGCGGGGTCCTGGGGGCTTGGGGGTACAGGCTTGGCCCAAACCTTAACACACTGGCATGTGCGGCAGTCAGGATCGAATGTGGGCCATGCTGGGCTAGGCTGTCACAGCTACCGATTTGCCTGAAAGCTAGGGATGGGGGCAGGGTTAGGCTGCAGCACCCATGAGTGAGAGTTGGGTCTGGGGGCAGGCCAGGACAAGCCAGGCTGCAGCATCTGATGACAAAAAGCAAGATAGGGGATGGGGCTATGCCGGTCTGGGTCAGAGCAGCCACTAGTATGCAAGGTCTGTGGCTGGGAGCAGGCCCGACAAGGAGCTAAGAGGATGCCCTGGCTGTTATGGCGCCCACTGGCGAGTATGAGAGCCGGAATGGGGGCAAACTGGACTGGACATGACTAGTTATACCTTGAAATGGGTGTGGACTGGGTCTGGGTGTGCCAGACCAGGCTTGACTCCAACACCCACTGGTGCTTGAAAGACCAGAGTGGGTGTAGGACAGACTGGGTTAGAGCTCTGCACCCACTGAACCCATGGGAGCTGGGTCTGGGAGTGGAGCAGGTAGGGCTGGGCTGCAGCATTCAACAGTGAGAGCCAGAACAGGTGTGGACTGTCGGAGAAGGCCACTGTTCCTGCCAAGACAGGAGGCGGGCCGAGTCGGGCTGGGCCAAACACCCAGCAGTGTGTAAGGTCTGCGACTGGGAGATCTGATGGAGGAGCTTGGAGAACTGTCAGGACACAGTCCCTGCAGGTGAGCACAAAAAAGACGGAGTAGCTGGTGTCCACCCAGTGGTGTGACAGCCTGAAGTGTGATCCCCGTCGCCCTTGCTGAAGAGCAGCACTCCGTTCAGTGCTCTGGGCTCCAGGGAGGGTCCTTGGTGGTCCCCACTGTGATACGGGACACCAGAGAGACAGGGCCAGGCGTCATGCTGAGAGGGGACCCCGGGTGGGCCTGGCCAGGGGGATCCCGTGGGCAGAGGGCACCTGCTTCGGGATCCAGGAGTCACTGACCCTGTGTGACCTCAGGGTGCTCCTGCTGCCCCACTCTTGACTATGGGATGGGCGTGGCTGTGGAGGAGGAGCCGCTGCCCCACCGGGCTTAGATGGCACGGCACCCCTGGGTGTGCCCACACCCACTCCAGAGGCCTCTTCCTGGCCTCGTGTGCCCTGCAGGGCCCTGTTCCACACTGGCTCCAGCTTGCCCGGGTTCCTCTTCTATGGAAACGGCTGGGCTCACCAGAGACACCAGCCGCAGACACCTGTCCGCCTTTCTGGAGAGTTCCACTGGGGGCGTATATTCTGACAGCTGGGTCCAGTGAGAGGCCAGCTCCTGTGTGCCAGGCTCTGAGCTTGCTGCGCCCCACCTTGGCCAATCCCCCAAACCAGCCCTGTGCAGGCTGTGAGAGAAAAGTGGCTCTGAGGACCTGAAGCATGGCCATGCTGTGGCCGTGGCCGTGTTTGCCTCCAGGAACCCGGCTGAGGCATGTGGCTCCCCTGCCTCCCCTTTCCCAGGCTCCCCCGAAACCTGGCTGTCTTATAGCTGCCTGCTAGGAGCTCTTTATTGGGCTTGGGGCAGTTTGCAGAAGGTCGGGGCGGGGTGGAGGCTGGGGTAAGGGAGGGCGAGCCCCCTCAAGGGCCTTTCTTGGGCAAGGGGTTAATGATGCCACTCTCAATGTACTCGAAGACGGTGTAAGGGTCCTGGTCGCCGTTGAGGGTGATGGCCTGCGAGTAGAACTGCTCAAGCTCTGCCGAGTTGCGGTAGAACAGGTCCATCTTGAACTTGACCCGCTCCTCTTGGTCCCTGGGGTTCTGCAACAGGCGCTCCTGGATCTCCTGCGTGGGTGGGGGCTTGTACAGGAGGTGGTACCTGCGGGAGGGGCGGGCACCCACTCAGCGCAGCCAGCAGGGGAGATGGCTGCCAGGCCCTTGGCCCGTCACTGCCGCTGGAGCTGGAGGCAGGGGCCTGAGGCCTGTCCCTGTGCCGGGTCATGTTAGAGAGACCCGGGGCTTCCTGCCTGCCTGCCCTCCCTGGGATCCTAGCCAGACCGGGAAGAGGGGGTTTGAGGGCACTTGGGTCCCATGCGGAAGGGTATGCACAGCGACACCAAGGTCTGAGACACACATCCCCCTGGCCCAAGGGACACTGCTCGGCGCAGGCTGGTCGAAGGCAGTGACTGCAGGGTGAGGTACCCATGTCCCCAGGGGTGCCAGTACAGCCTTGGATATTCACTTCCTGTTACAAGCAAAAGAGGTGACCAGTCATGGACCCTCAAAGCCAGCTAGGGGAGCCCGGTTCTGCAGCCTGCTGTCCTTGGTCGCGGTGCTGTGCTGACCCCATGCCAGGGCATTGGCCGGGAGCCCAGCACCCACCTGTCTCCCGTGACAGGGTCCGTCCTCCTCAGCGTCAGCCGCTCCATGACCGAGTCCAAGGGCACGTTCAGGAAGAACACCCTGGGGAGGGAGGGCAGGAACAAGCCCACTGTCTCCATGCTCTGGCTCTGCAGCACCCCCACCTCATCCTCCCTGGGCATACAGAAGCCATGCCAAGGCCTCTCCTTCACTCACCCCTCCTAGTCCAGGTCAAGGCGTCCCCAGTCCCTAGCCACCTCTCCCAGAGCCACGGCCCAGCCAGCCAGAGACGCCTCTAGAGCCCTGAGCTGCCAGGGCCGGCCCCTCGGCACCTGCCTCGCCTGTGGCTCTGGCCACATGTGTGCCTGCACTGCTGCTCACTGACCACTGCTGGCACCTCTCTGGGTGGGCAAGGTGGCATGTTTTATCCTTGCAGGAGTCCCCAGGCTGTGTCAAGGTCTCATTCCTGCCTGGACCTGCCGAGCCACTGACCACCTCCCTCAGATTCAGCTCCCTCCACTGAAAGATGGGGCTGGGACCAGCTCCTCGGCGTTGGAGATTTGCCTAGTGGCTCCTTGCTATTGAACCTGGCAAAGCAGCAGAAGACTGAGTGCCCAGGACCCTGCCACCCCCGAGGAGTTCCTGGCTCCTGGCTTTGCCTAATCCAACCTCCACCATTGCAGGCACTGGGGGAATGAACCAGGAAACGGGGATGTGGTTTCTTGGTAAGTGAATAAATAAATAAATCCTTAAGAATAAACCAACTTGGTAATGCTTTGTTTAAATAATAATAATAATAATCCCTGAGGTTGGTACTGTGGCTACTGCCTACAGTTCCAGCGTTCCATACAGGTACCTGGTTCAAGTCCTGGCTGCTCCATTTCCCTTCCAACTCCCTGCTTGTGGCCTGGGAAAGCAGTGAACAGCCCAAAGCCTTGGGACCCTGCACCCACGTGGGAGACCCAGGGAACACTCCATGCTCCTGGCTATTGTAGCCACCTGGGAAGTGAATCATCGGACGGAAGATCTTCCTCTCTGTCTCTCCTCTTTCTGTAACTGCCTTTCAAAAAAAAATGAATAAACATTCAAAACAACCGAAAGAATCCTGATATTGCATGGCCTGCTTTCTGGTTTGTCACGTGGCTCCTTCACACAGCGAGCCTCCGAGGACGAGGAGCAGTTCATGCCGCAGTGACAGCCACAGCCCTGACAACAGACCCACTGAACGGGGCCTCCCCACACCTGTTCCCAAGACTGATGTCCATTCCCGAGGAGCAGCAGAGGGACAGCCCCGGGGGGGGGGGATGCGCGCACGTGTGGGAGCACACAAGGCAGGGAGCACATGCTTGAGTGTGCATGGGAGCACGCACCGGAGGAGCACACATGCACGGAACACCCTCTTACACAGAACTTACACACACGGTGGTGCAGGTGCTGCAGCAGCTCCACACAGCCCCGAGGGTCCACAGCAGTGCTGGAGCTGGCGGCCACTGACAGTGTTACTCCAGCCACTAACACTGCCCCACCCCACCACCACCAAAAGCAGCAGGTCCAGAAAGCTGCTTTACAAACCCACAGGCCCAGACCCACCCGAGGGATCTGGGCTGCCTTCGCCATGCATCGGGGTGGCTTGGGACAGGCTGGAGACAGCAGAGGCATCAGGACCATGCCAATGTTTGAAACATGCCCCTGGCGAAAGCCTGGCCAGGACAGCCAGCTGGCAGCCCACGGGAAGCCCAGGGAGGGCGCTGGGCTCTCAGCCTCTGCTCCAGCCCCTCTTGGCGTTGTGTTTTCTGCCATTTATTTATAACAACACAGCCAGGACAGAAAGCAGTGAGGGGAGGAGCCTCTAAGCTGAGCTGTCTGGGTGGACGCCGCCCCCCCCCATGATCTCCACGCACCTGCTGTGGGCGCTGTGGGTGGGGTGCGGGCACAGCCTTGAGGGTGCCTCAGGAGAGGAGGCAGAGGGGGTCTGGGGAGCCCCTGGTCCCTGGCTACTGCGTGTGGGAGGCCTGGGAGCTCGTTAGCTGCCTGCCTGCTGGGTTGGAGAGGGCATTCTAACGAGACCCAGGGTGGGTTGCAGGCTCAACGAGGCAGGGGAGGGCTACTCGCCCGTGTTTCTGAGACCTGCCTGATGTTCGATCAGCTCGCCTGAAATCCAGAAATCCAGCCTCCCCTGCCTCCTCCCCAGGGTGCCGGAGCCGGGAGCTGGGGGCGGGGCACGCTGCCTGTGGGTCAGCTGCTCAGGGGCAGCAGGGGACCTTGGGGACAGGGGCCTGCCCTGGGGTGGGGCTAGCAGGGACTTCAAAGCCTCCCACAGGGATTACAGCACGCGGTCCAGCTGGGAACCACAGCTGGCTCCCCTGACTTAGTGTTCAAGACAGGAAACTGAGTCACGGTGAGGCGAAGGGCTCAGTGTCTGCCCCAGCCTTGGGGACAGCTGGCACCCCGGGCCTTCCTCAGATGTCCTGCCCCGGCCCTGTGTGGGAGCCAGGGAGGCTTCCCGCTCTGGGTCTGGCTGCTACCCTACTACTCTCCGGGGTCGAGAGCACGACCTCCCCCTGGCCCTGGCCCCCTGTCGCCTCTGTGACGGCCAGCCCTTGCCCCGTCCCTCCTACAGCCTCCACTGCAGCAAACCCCAGGCACAGCACAGTACAGGAATAAAGAGCCACTGAAGACTGAAGAAAAGAACCCTGGGGCCGGCAATGTGCTGCGGTGGGCTGATCCTTGGCCTGTGATGCCAGCATCCCATAGGGGCACTAGTTTGACTCCTGGCTATTCTACTTTCTATCCAGGTCCCTGCTTGAGTCCTGGGAGAGCAGCAGAGGATGGTCAAATGCTTGGATCCTGCACCCATGTGGGACACCCAGAGGAGGCTCCTGGCACCTGGTTTCTGTCTGGCCTATCCCCAGCCACACAGGCTATTTGGGGAGTGAACCAATGGATGGGACATCTCCCTATTCTTGGCTCTCTTCTCTGTAACATTGCCTTTCAAATAAATAAAAAGATCTTTAAAAAAAAAAAAACACCCAGGAAATGACAGGTGTGGATGGGGGGTGGGGAAATGGGGTCCCGCATAGTCACAAAAATAGTACCTGAATGGGGGGCATAGTGGGTGAGGCCGCTTGCCTGCAGTGCCAGCGCCCCCTACAGGTGCTGGCTTGAGACCTGGCTGCCCCACTGCAGGTCCGGCTCCCTGCTGATGGGCCCAGCACACAGCAGAAGAGAGCTCAAGTGCTTGGCTCCCTGTCCGGCACGTGAAAGACCCAGATGGAATCCCAGCTCCTGAGTTCTACTTGACGCAGCCCTGACCTTGGCAGCCATTTGGGGAGCTCTCTCTCCATGCCTTTCTCTCTCACTGCAACTCCACCTCCCAAATAAAGATTTTTTTTTTTTATGAGAACTCTAAAGAAAAGGTAAAAATGCACTTTCTGGACACGGGTGATAAAAAGCTGGAAGCCAAAATTAAGAGGGAACATTTACTCCAGGGCGAAAATGAAGCTCTCGGGCAGAGGGTGAGTAAAGCGGCAGGAGCACCCCTGGGGTGAGAACCAGGGAGCCATGCGGGAGCTCAGGAAGGCTGTGCCTACACGTGCCAGGGCAGCGTGCGGGCCGGAGACGCGGCATCGCACAAGCCCTCATAGGGCTGCAGACTCAAGGTGGTTCCAGTCTAGCTTTCAGCAAGGTCCCCTGAAGACCCTGCCCAAGTTAATCCTAAACTTTATATGGAAAGGAAAAGGAATTCGAATAACTAAGGCAATTAAAAAAAAAAAAGGTTGAATTGATTTTTAAGACTGATGGTGAAAGGGCAGATTAGAACGTCGCAGGAACAGAATGCAGTGCCCACAAACACGGCTGCTTGCCGGGCAGCGGGGCTGACTGGCCGCTCGCGGGCAAGAGGAACGCCATTTTCCGATGACGCTGGCACGACTGACAGGCCTCCTGTGCCAAACGAGCACGGCGAGAGGAACTTTGACTGCTCCCTCACGCCACGCATACATTGAACCCAAGGGCGTAAAAACCGCCCACAGGCATGGCAACGAACTCACTAAGCGCTGAGAATCTTTTGTGACTCTGAAAGATTTCCCTAGAAATGACATCCAAATCATAACCTATGAAAAAAAATTAGGCTGAACTTTATTAAAAGTCTATTAAAATTTTAAAAAGTCTATTAAATGTTAAAGTCTTAATTAAAAAAACAATTTTGATCAGAAGGTGTTAAGAAAATGGAATATGAAGGGCCAGTGCAGCGGTTCAACACGCTGCTCTACCGCCTATAGCACGGGCTTCCCATATGGGCGCCGGTTCTAATCCCGGCTGCCCCACTTCCCGTCCAGCTCCCTGCCTGTGGCCTGGGAAAGCAGTGGAGGACGGCCCAAAGCCCTGGGAGCCTGCACCCACATGAGAAACTGACCAGCTCAGCTCAGCTCTGGCCACTGTGGACATCTGGGAAGCAAACCAGGACAGACACAAATGACTCCTTATGTCATGTTTGTGGCAGCTGCTGGTCGCTCCACCCTCTGGGTGGCCTCTTGATCTAATCCTTTGCGTATCTTCCCTCTTTGGGGGGCGGGGGGAGGAGGGTGTCACATTATTTATTCACTATTTATTTATTTATTTATGATTCACTTTATCTGAAAGGCAGAGTTACAGAAAAAAAAAGGGAGGAGCACAGAGAGGTCTTGCTTCCCGGATGGCCACATGGCCAGGGCTGGGTCAAGCCCAAGCCGGGTCTCCCACGTGGGTACAGGGACCCAAGAACTCAGGCTGTCCTCTGCTGTTTTCTCTGGTGCCTTAGCAGGGAGTTGGACCCAAACTGGAGCAGCTAGGACTTGAACTAGCACCTGTATGGAATGCTGGCATCAGAGGTGGTGGGTTTGCTCACTACACTGCAGCACTGGCCTGCCTGGAGTTTACAGACTGTCAGCACAAGGACTCCTGTGGTCTAAAGGTAGAGAGAAGACTCCCGCAGGACAGCAGAATGGGTCAAGTTGGGGAAGAGAGCTGGTTGAAAAGAGAGATGAAATGGACCTGTGGGAGGAGGGGAAGGGGGCTGTCGGGCCGACTCGGCCGGGGCTGGGAGGGCAAGGTGTGCGGCTCAT